AAAACATTATAACTAAAATTAAGATGTCCAAAAATTATGTTGTCTAAAATGTCTGAAACAACTAAATTGCCAGTACTGTCTAAAATTGTCTAAAATGTCTTGATAATATACAGGGTGTCCGGGAAAAGGAAGTCAATCCGTTAACCATATATTCTTTGAGTTAAAACAATAAGACTTTCATAATACCATTTTTCAGTTTAGAGCTTCATGTTCGATATACAGGGCGACAAAGTTTGAAATTTAAAACTGATTTTTTTTAATAATTCGAGTAATTGATAAGATATTAAGTTCAAATTCGGTACACTACTTCAACATAAATAGTTACATGTTCTGAGACCAACAAAACAAAAAAACAATTGTCAAATAATAAAAATAGGGGGGGTCCAGTACTCACTGACTCCCCCTAATTTTAGTACGTGCGCCAATGACTTCCAAACGGTATTTTTTCAGGTAATCATTTATTGTTAAAAAAATTTGTCTCTTATAAAATTTTCATAAAATGATTTGTTTTAGAGATAATTTGTAAACTATGGGTCAGTCCATATCAAATCAACTAAAGGTTCTTCCCCCACCATCTCCGATTTTGATAATTTTTGGTAAATTTGTTTACCCCACTAAAAAACTCAAAAATCCCATACTTATATGAATTTTTTTCGATGGGTGGTTTTTGTTTTATTGATTTTTGAAAATCAAAAAATTCCGATAAATTTGGGTTTTGCAAGTACTTACAAAAATAGCGATATCTCGTAAACTATTAAAAGTAGAAAGGTGAGTGATGGCTTATTTTAAAGGCCTATTAGAGACCTTTTTTATGATATATCACATGACCTAAATTTTTTCAAAAAAAAAATTAAATTTCAAAAATTTGATATGGATTGACCCATACTTTACAAATTATCTCTAAAACAAATCATTTTAACAAAATTTTATAAGGGACAAAAAATTTTCAACAATAAATGATTACCTGAAAAAATACCGTTTGGAAGTCATTGGCGCACGTACTAAAAAATAGGGGGAGTCAGTGAGTACTGGTCTCCCCTATTTTGATTATTTGACAATGGTTTTTTGTTTTGTTGGTCTCAAAAAATGTAACTATTTATGTTAAAGTAGTGTACCGAATTTAAACTAAATATCTTATCAATTACTTGAATTATTAAAAAAAATCAGTTTTAAATTTCAAACTTTGTCGCCCTGTATATCGAACATGAAGCTCTAAACTGAAAAATGGTATTATGAAAGTCTTATTGTTTTAACTCAAAGAATATATGGTTAACGGATTGACCTCCTTTTCCCGGACACCCTGTATAACTGTTTTAGAATGTCACAAAACTTCTTAGTACTGTCTAAAACTGTCTTAAAACTATAAAAAATATCCCAAAACCATCTTGATACGATCAGAACTATAAAAAATACCATTTAGACAACTATGTCAAGTGGTTTTAAGATAACAGTAATAAAACAGGTAATTTTTGTAGTTAAAAAACTAATTACCCTGCTGATAAAACAGCAGGTTTTATGTCCGGTTATGGCTGCTTTTGCAAGTCACTTCGAATGTTACCTGCAATACCGGGTTGATATCTATATAGAAATATCATCCGCAAACGTCCGTCATTGACGTAATGATGCTTTCATCTGATTTCAATCGCGATTGCCTGCATTTGGTTTTATCCGCAAATGTCTAATTTCATCCGGTTTCATCCGTAAATGCTGCCTTTATTTGATTTTATGTCTGCATTCATCCGGTTTTATCCACGATTGCCTGAATTTTGTTTTTCTGTTTTCGTCTGGTTTTATCCTCATTTCGTTCTATATCTGCTTGTAATAAAAATACAAATACGTACAAGATATTACATAGACAAAAAATGTCTAAAACTAGCCATTTATTTTATCTATTCAAGAATTAAAAACAATTTTCTTACGTTTTAAAAGGAACAAGTTTGCTTTTGTCAGGTACATAATGTTAGTGGGCCATATTTAGGACACCCTGTATAGTTTTTTTATTTAATCCGTGAGAATTTGTAAATCTTTCATTCCCGTGCTTTAAAGCGTTGTTTACGAAATTTGCTATAAGAAATTTGATCCTTTTTAACAGATGTATATTATTATTATTATTATGGATGTATATTACTGATATTTGTTGGTATGTTTTTTACATTTTATTAAATAACTAAACTTAAACTTCCTGTAAATGATCTTAACATTTTATAACTATTTTAAAACTGTCCAAGATGTCGAACAGTTGTTAGGTTGTTTCCTCAAATGTCATATACTGTCTTAAGAACTGTCTAATACAACTAAATTGCCTTAGTACTGTCTAAAACTTCTTACTACTGCTAAAAATACATTTTCACTATGTACAGTTTCTTAGTACTGTCTAAAACTGTCTTGAAACTATAAAAAATTCCACAAGACTGTTCCAAAACTATTTAAAATCTATTAGTACTAAAATATGGTTACTTTTTCAATATTGTCAAATCTATCCTTGAAAAATCTTAACTGCCTTATTACTGTCTAAAAATTGTGTAAAATATTCTTGGTAATATCTAACTGTTTTATAATGTCACAAAACTTCTTAGTACTGTCTAAAACTGTCTTGAAACTATAAAAAATATCCCAAAACTATTTTGATACGGTCAGAACTAAACTGCGCACCACTCAATTTGTCGCGAACAAAAAGTTCGTTCTTTTTCAAAATGACATAACTTTTTTGTTTCTCGAACTATTTTATTTTGGTCTGTGTTGTCTGCTAGCCTCATCCTCTGGAAATTCATGCTATAGATATGAAGCTCATGGTTCTTCAAGAAAATTTACTACAGGGTGATATGTTAAACGGTGAAAAATTTCAATAACTTCATCCAAGCCCCGTTTGTAAAAAAAAATTTTTTTTGTTTTTACTTGAAATAATGAAGTATTCTGTCTTACCTTGAAACGTTTTTCAAATTTTTCGAATTGGAATCTTAGCAACGAAAATATTATTTTTTTTCCAAAATAGTACATCTAAGGCTTTTTTGTAGGCAATACACTCAGTCTTTTTAGGAACAAGAAGATAAGATGGTAAAAGATTGTTCCTTAAATAATTCTGAACAAGCGACAAGCAACAAACTTTCATTATTTTCAGAGGGCCTAAGCAAAGACCACTTTTTCAAAATAAAATGTTGGTGAAAATTTGAGAAAACTAAACCTAAACCTATATTTACGTTCGTGACATGTTTTCTTCATAATTTTGACCTGATTGTGATTCAGTTGTCAAATTAAAGTTTCAGATAAAACCAAAACTCACCAAGAATCAAGATTCGAAAACAATTTCCGGCTGTTAAATGTCTCAATAAAATACGATTACTGGTTTTTACTATTTTTTTACTGTGTTTTGCATCTTTAGTACGGTATTATCATGTCGCTGGATGATCAAATCGAGGATCAAATGAAAATTAGTTCTTGAAAAACATTTAAAACACATTATGAGGGATATTCTTGATTTTTTCAGTTTGCTTGTGTTTTTCCAAATTTCGAAGTTTTTTTTCATAATTTTTACCCAACTACCTACATACCTACCCCAATCCTACACAGGTTACTTCCATTCTTCCTTTAAATGATTAAAATACCAATGCCAGACTTTGCTGCAGCTACGGGAATTAACATCTCCAAATCAAAACCCTTAAATGCACTCTTTTGAAAAAAAAATCATATTTTCGTTGCTAAGATTCCAATTCAAAAAATTTGAAAACCTTTTCAAGGTAAGACATAATACTTCATTATTTTAAAGTAAAAACGAGAAAAAATATTTTTTTAAACGGGGCTTGGATGAAGCTATTGAAATTTTTCACCGTTTTACATATCACCCTGTACGAAATTTACTTGCAGAACCATGAGCTTCATATCTATAGCATAAATTGCCAGAGGATGGGGCTAGCAGACATCATAGACCAAAATTAAATCGTTTAAGAAAAAAAAAAGTTATTTCATTTTGAAAAAGGACGAACTTTTTGGTCGCGACACATTGATTGGTGCGCAGTTTATAAAAAATAACTTAAAACTGTTGTAACCAAAACTATCTAAAATCTATTAGTACTAAAATATAGTAACTTTCTCAATACTGTCTAAATTTTGTAGTACTTCTCAAAACTATCATTGGACAATCTTAACTTCTTAGTACTGCCTAAAAATTGTCTTATATGTCTTGGTAATACCTAACTGTTTTAGAATGTCACAAAACTTCTAAGTACTGTCTAAAACTGTCTTGAAACTATAAAAATATCCCAAAATCATCTTGATACGGTCACAACTATAAAAAATACCTTGGACTGTTCCAAAACTATCTAAAATCTATTAGTACTAAAATATAGTAACTTTCTCAATACTGTCTTAATTTTTTAGTACTTTTCAAAACTATACTTGGATAATTTTAACTGCCTTAGTACTGTCTAAAACGTGTTGGTAATCTAACTGTTTTAGATTGTCACAAAACTTCTTGAGACTACATAATCTATAAAATGTTTCAAAACACTCTTAAACACCTGGTACTATCTAAAATGTTTTTTAACTGTCTTAGTACTTTCTAAAAATTGATTAAGAATGTCCCAAAACCTTTTTAAAACTATATGAACTGTCAAAAATGTCCTGTCTAAAATGTATCCTACTGCCTTAGTAGAATGTCTAAAATGTCTTAAGAAGACTTTGTACTGTCTTAAACTGTCTAAGTAGGTACTATCTAAAAACAAAAAGTCCTAAGATATCCCAAAACTTTTAAAGTACTCTATAATTCCCTATCCTGTCCTAAAAAATATCTAGAATGTCCATACCACTTGGTACTGTCTAAAATATCCTAATCCGTCTTAAACCTGTGAGAAAGATGTTCAAAAACTGTCTAAAGTGTCCTGAAACAATCTTATACTGTCTATATATATTTAAAAAGGTACATAGTTTCTTTTTTTTTCAATAATCTTGTGTACCAATGATTAATATAAGCTTTTTTTCAAAACATTTACATATTTATATTTTAGAAACACATCGGATTCCTTCGGTTTCGAGCCGCTAATCGAGCAAAAGTCGTCAGAAACCGACTCTATAGCGCACCATCAGACTCCTAAAGGCGACCACACGTACGAGCCCTCCACGACATCGTCTCCACACAGCGACGATGCGAAAACACGTATCAGCATCGAGGGAATGACATGTCAGTCGTGCGTGAGAAATATCGAGGAAAATATCAGCAAGAAGCCCGGAATATATAGCATTAAGGTACGCTATACCACTATAATAAACATATAGGTCATGTAAATACTTTGTTTTAGGTAAATTTGGCTGAAAAATGCGCGTACATTCACTACGACACAAAAACGGTCACGCCAGATGAAATTTGCGAGTTTATAGACGATACAGGGTTCGAAGCTAGTCTTCCATTATTGCCAACTGAAGAAAAAACAAGCGTATGTCTCATACACATTAACGGAATGACATGTAACTCTTGCGTTCAATCTATAGAAGGTAAGAACAACCGAAAATTCTTAGTACCGTCTAAGTACTAATTTTTAAGTACTTTCTAAAACTCTCCTTAAATGTCCTGAAACTGTCTAAAACTCCTTAGTTGTATTTAAAATGTCCTTAAACCTGTCTAAAACTATCTTAAACTATTTAAGTCCTTTTTAAAATATCATAAAAGAATCTAAACTGACTTAATACTATCTAAAACTGTTTTTAAATGACCCAAAACCATCTTGAAACTGCATAAACCACCTTACGACTGTCTAAAATTTCCTATTACTTTGTTTTATAATGCCTCAAAATCGACTTGAGTGCATAAAGTATCTCAGAACTATGAAAAATTTGCCTAAACCGTCTTAAAATGGCATAAACTGCTTTAGCACTGTCCAACATGTTGTAAAACCACTTGGTACAATTTGATATGAGCTATCTAAAATTGTCCCTCTTGAAACTGCATAATCTGCTTAAGGACTGTCTAAAGTAATTTAAAACTCATAAGTACTATTTGAAATGTCCATAAGCTGTCTTTTTTTGCTTTAAAACTGTTTTAAAATGTCCCAAACCCGTCTTAAAACTGCATATAATGTCTTAGTACTATCTAAAAAATAATCTAAAAACGAAAATATCTTTGTACTTGTTTTAAACTCTTTGAGTACTGTGTAAAATTATCCCAAACTGTCTTAGAAATGGCAAAAACTGTTAAGAATTTCCCAAAACTGTCTTAAAAATGCCTAAATTGCCTTAGGACTTTTAGAGTATCTTAAAACCGTCTATGGTCTAGGTACTATGTAAAATTGTCATAAACCGTCTTAAAACTGTATAAACTGCCTTAGCAGTGAAATGTTGCATAAACCGTCTTAAAACTGTATAAACTGCTTTAGCAGTGAAATGTTGTATAACTACTAAGTCTAAAATTTATTGGTACTTTCTAAAATATTTCACAATCTTAGTACCTACTATTTAAAATATCTTAAAACGATCTCCAACCTAAAATATTTATCTTAAACTTATTAAGTACTGTCTAAAATTTGCCTAAACAATCTAAAAAGAAAATACCTTTTTTACTTGCTTTAAACTGTTTAAGTACTGTGCAAAATTATCCTCAACTGTCCCAAAACCGTCTTAAAAATGCCTAAATTGCCTTAGGACTTTTTAAAATGCCTAAATGAAACTCTTTTAGAGAATCTCAAAACCGTCTTAAACTAAACTGCGCACCACTCAATGTGTCGCGACCAAAAAGTTCGTCCTTTTTCAAAACGACATAACTTTTTTGTTTTTTGAACGATTTTATTTTGGTCTGTGATTTCTGCTAGCCCCATCCTCTGGGTATTCATACTATAGATATGAAGCTCACGGTTCTTCAAGTAAATTTCGTACAGGGTGATATGTAAAACGGTCAAAAATTTCAATAACTTCATCCAAGCCCCGTTTGTAAAAAAATAATATTTTTTCTCGTTTTTACTTTGAAATAATGAAGTATTATGTCTTACCTTGAAAAGTTTTTTAATTTTTTCGTATTGGAATCTTAGCAAAGAAAATATGATTTTTTTTAAAAGAGTACATTTAAGGCTTTTTGGTAGGCAATACAATCAGTCTTTTTAAGAACAAGGAGATAAGATGGTGAAAGATTCTTCCTTGAATAATTCTGAACAAGCGACAAGCAACAAACTTCCATTATTTTCAGAGGGGCCTAAGCAAATACAACTTTTTTAAAATGATATTTTGGTGAAAATTTGCGAAAACCAATCCTGAACAGATATTTACGTTCGTAACATGTTTTCTTTATAATTTTGACCTCCTGCTTGTGATTCAGTTGTCAAATTTAAGTTTCAGATAAAACCAAAATCACTAAGAATCAAAATTCGAATACAATTCCCGGCTGTTAAATTGCCTACAAAAAAGCCTTAAATGTACTCTTTTAGAAAAAAAAATCATATTTTCGTTGCTACGATTCCAATTCAAAAAATTTGAAAAACGTTTCAAGGTAAGACCTAATACTTCATTATTTCAAAGTAAAAACGAAAAAAAAATATTTTTTCTACTACCTTAATGGAAAACCTAATTTTCCACCCCCGAGCGAGGGAGGAAAATGCCTCTTTTCCTCCCCGGGAGGAAAAAATATTTCCTCCCCGGGAGGAAAAAATATTTCATCCCTCTATTTTTTTAAACAATTTTACATTAGCAAGAGTTTTGTACCTTGTCTAGCCTTATTTGATTTTGTACGAAAAAGATTTACTCCGCGCTTGTTCAACCATTCTTTGTTTAGTTTAGTTTAGTGTTTTAGCAGTGTCAAAGTTACAAAAAAAACACATGACTAGGTACATTCCTTTTTATATCGCTTTTTCGATTTTTGAGGAAGAAGATTAATTTCAACTACTCTTACCTCCAGCAAGATCTTGCGGCAGGTCTTCTTCGCTAAAACTCATTTTTAAAACGTAGGAAGAATTTCAAATTTATGATAACCTGACAGCTTATAAAAACTGTTATGTTTGTTTTACCAAAAATACCATAGCAACAAAGCGTTGTCAACACAACGTCGGCGACGCAAAACCTACTTAATATTTTGTCATAATAATAATTAATACCGGATTAGTAAAAATAACCCTTAAAATGTCTTTAAAACCGTTAAAAGGTAATAGAAAAAACCATATACATACCTCAGGAGGAAAATGCGTTTCCTCCCTTGAATATTTAATGCCCTTCGCTTCGCGTCGGGCATCAAACTATTCACGGGAGGAAAAGCATTATTTTCCTCCTATGGTATGTAAATAGCTATTTTTACAAACGGGGCTTGGATGAAGTTATTGAAAATTTTCACCGTTTAACATATCACCCTGTAGGAAATTTACTTGAAGAACCTTGAGCTTCATAAATATATCATGAATTGCCAGATGGGGCTAGGAAACATCACAGACCAAAATAAAATCGTTCAAGAAACAAAAAATTATGTTTTGAAAAAGAACGAACTTTTTGGTCGCGACACATTGAGTGATGCGCAGTTTATTTGTACTATGTAAAATTGTCATAACCCGTCTTAAAACTGTATAAACTGCCTTAGCAGTAAAATGTTCTTTAATTACTAAGTCCAAAATGTATTAGTACTTTCTAAAATCTTTTTATGTCTCAAAACCCTCTTAAAACTATTACAATCTTAGTACTATTTAAAATGTCTTAAAACGATCTCCAACCTAAAATATTTGTCTTAAACTTATTAAGTACTGCCTAAACTGTTTTACTAATGTCTAGAATGTCCCAAACCGCCTTGAATCTGAATAAACTCCCTTAAGACTTTCTTAAAACTGTTTTAGAATGTCCCATCTTAAAACTACATAAATTGTCTTAGTACTATCTAAAAAGTCATTGCTGTTTAAAAATTTTGAGTACTTTTTAAAGCGGTTTAAAAATGTACAAAAACGGTTATAACTTATCTAAAGTTTCCTAATGTACTGTCTAAAGTCCCAAAAGTGTCTTGAAACTGTCAACTGCCTAAAATTTCAAATGCCTTAAAATGCCCTAAAACTTTTTTCAGGCATGATTTCCACAGTAGACGGCGTGAAAAGCATAAAAGTGAACTTGGGCGAGAAGCAGGGCCGCGTCGAATTCCTCGCCCAGAAGGTCATCGCGCAGAACCTCGCCGATCAGATCGAGGACATGGGCTTCGACGCTTACGTCACTTCCGTCAACGGGAAACAATCGAACGGCGCCTCGGGCGGAAGCGACGACAAAATAGGCGGCGGAAGCGGCACGCCGGAAAAGAAGGACTCCGATTTGAGTTCGTCGAGTCGGACGACGAATTCCCGAGAGAAGAATTTGTCGAAATGTAATTTGCATATAAAGGGGATGACGTGCGCTTCTTGCGTGTCAGCCATTGAAAAACACGTCAATAAATTGGCAGGTATGTGCTCTATCTCGCGATTTTTTTGTCTATGTTAAAATGCGCTCTACCTTCAAGGTATACAAGGTACAAATTTTGTTTTTTAGGGTGTCAGAAAATTTTGGTTTCGCTTTTGGCCGCCAGGGCGGAAGTGCAATACGATCCCTTGGTGACGACCCCCAACGAAATAGCGGCGTCGATAACCGATCTCGGTTTTCCGGCGTCGGTATTGCAGCAAAATGGCGTCGGCGAGTCAGAGGTATGTTGATAAATGTATTATATTTAATATAGTACTAGCAAATACTGTCTAAAACGCCTTAGTTCTATCTAATATGTCTAAAAAACTGTCTACATTTTTTAAGTACTTTCTTAAACTGCCTTAGAACTCTTAAAATTCCTTATAAGAGGGTTATTATTATAGTACTGTCTAAAACATCCTAAATTGGTTTAAATGTGTATAATTTATTTTTATCAAATAAGCACTTATTGCTTCATTACTATTTCTTCGTTAAAGTATTTTATTCAAAATAAGTATAGGTATACATTAGACTGGGCCAAAAGAATCAACTATTTTTTTTTAAGTATATCCAAAATATGGTTTGGGGAGAAAAAAATTATTGTGAAAGTTTGAGTCCATAATATTAATATTAATTTTTTTTTTCCTCAGCAAGTTTTAGGCTCAGAACTTCCAAACCATCGAGTTTCACAAAATTAATAATATTTTTTAAGAAAATTAAATGCTCTACAAAAAAGGTTAAAATGAAATTTTCCGTCAGATAAACCGTTTCCTTAAAATCATACCTTAAAAATTGGCATATTTTGATCTTTTAAATTGGAATTTTGTAATTCATGTAAAAATCAGTACCCATAAAAAACCGATAAATATTCTTATGGGAAATCAAATGCTTTACAAAAAAGCCTCCTAACATTTTTGGCTAAATTTACTCAATCAAAAGTTATTCAAGGTTAAAATTTCGTTTTGACTTCAAATTTAACCTTGAATAACTTTTTATGGAGTGAATTTAGCCAAAAATGATAAGACTTTTTTTGTATAGCATTCCTATAAGAATATTTATCGTTTTTTTTTTCAGGGTACCTACTGATTTTTACTTGAATTACAAAATTCAAAAGTAAAAAGATCAAATTGTAAAACTATACCAATTTTTAAGGCATGATTGTAAGAAAATGTTTCATCTGACGGGAAATTCCAATCAAACCTTTTTTTTAGTGCATTCAATTTTCTTCAAAAAATATTCTTAAGTCAATTTTGTTAAACTCAATGATTTGGGAGTTCTGAGACAAAAACTCGCTCAGGAAAAAAAATCTCAAATTGCGATGACAGACCTCTTAATATTAATATTATGGACTCAAACTTTCACCATAATTTTTTTTGTCACCCCAAACAATATTTTCGATATACTTTCCAAAAAATAAAATTATCGATTTTTTTGGCCCAGTCTAGTATACAAACAAATTTAAATGTTTGAATATCGAAATTTACGAAAACAAAGAATAATTGAATAAAATTATGGTAATTTGTTACCATTTTGTGGCAAAATGGCTGCTGATAAGTATTTGAATATCGAAATTTACAATATTTCGAAAACAAAGAATATTTGAATAAAATTATGGTAATTTGTTACCATTTTGTGGTAAAATGGCTGCTGACAAGTATTATCATTTCGATAAAAAAAAGGTAACAGGAGATTAGTGTCCAAAATCTTGCACCGTGATTTTTTTACTATAATTTAAAATTTAATTAGTGATCTAGGGAATTTCACTAAAAAATTTAAAAGATTGGTGCTAATAACTAACTTCACACTTATTTGTGACGCAAATATTCTTTATAATCTGTGGTTTGATTCTTTATCATCTGTGGTTCGATTCTATTTCATGTACGACCGATTCAGTTGATGGTTAGAGAGAATAATATGGATACAGATCCTGAAAAAAAGGGGGCGCTCCTCAAATTTTTGAGAAAAAAATCATTTAATTAATCTTGTGGATACAAGGATATCATTGAAAACAAAGAGACAGATAGGGCAAAAACAATTAGAGCAGGAAATTAATAAGTATAAAGTAAATAAAACAACAAAAATATTATTCAAATTAAATTTTATAAATTCGCAAAATAATCTTGTATTAATTGATTTTTAAACATAATGCGATCTTGTGGATGAGTAACAACGGGTACTCCAGTTCATATCATCAGGTAATGGCGGCTCTGGTTTATTCATGTCTCTAGCAATATTATGTAGCACAGCTGCAGCTGGAATAATGGACAAAACTGTATCTAGTTTTAATCTTAAGCCATATTCCAACACTGGAAACCTTCTTTTCCAAATTCCAAATACTCTTTCTATTATATTTCTGGTTCTAAGTAGTGACTCATTATAGAGTTGCTGACCTCTATACCTATAACTATAGTCATTGGATTTGCTAAATATGTCAATAAATAATATCTTTAGAAAAAAGATCTTGAATATCGACTAGTACTTTTGAGGTTATAAATCGTTAACGGTGTATTAATAGTATATTAAAGAACTAATGTCATAAGACGTCATTTTGTCGCACGCGGACAATTTATAAAACGAGCGACGAAGGAGTTCTTTATGCTATTTTATCTATTTTGCAAACATTTCATAAAACAAATCAATTTTATACCTTATATTTAATTTGGTCGAATTTTACTTTACATAGTTGGTATCTCAGTTTGAAGTTTGAAAGGTCATTAACCTTTCAAACATTATCACATTCTTTCGCTATGGCGTCGTTAATTTACAATAAGAATTTACAATAAGCGGCTGTTAAAGAAGAAAAAAGGATTTTCTTTGGTGTTAAACAAAATTTATTGCACGAAAAGTCTCGTAAGTACTAGAAAACAAATCATAAAAATATTATAACCTATAGGTATTCAATATTTTATTTTACTAGTAGCCAACCTATAAAATCAAAACTTTGGGTGGAATAAAGTACCTCATTAAAGAACCAAAAGCGGTGTTATAATGAAGTTATTATGAACGCGAAATAGATAAAGTAATTTAAACCACCGAAATTGGGGGATTATTTTAACAGTAGTTTAGAGGTATTTAAACAAGGATTAATTTACGGTGCAAGCCAGTTACGAAAAATAAACCTGTGTTAAAAATAAAACCACTGTTAAACTTACGTTGCAAATGGCCATAAAAAATAAAAACATTAAAAAAAGATGTGTAACGAAAGACCCATTACATCAGTGAAAAATAATTAGTGGTGGGGGTTGGATCTGGGGTTAGAAAAAAAAATTTGGCTTTATTATGAAAATATTTTCTGAATTCTCTATGATAACAGTCTTTGTAAACATTTTCTTGAAACATCAATATACTTGAACCAAGTATGTTATTGGTTTTTATAAATAATTTTTACTGATAATATTAGTAATTTTCATAAAATTTATTGTTTGCCTTCAATAAAGGTGAAATAAAAAATAAACTATTTTAAATTTCAAATATTGAAAAATGTGACATGCAATAAAAATATCTTCCTTGCCAACTAAAAATAAGTAATTTGATAATCATTCATTTCCCTTTAAAAATAAAAAATGAGTAATGTAAAGTGAGTACCTACAATACATTAACATAAAAAATTGTAATGAAAATCTCAAAATACTCATTTCAAATTAAAAATGAGTAATGTAAAAAAGATACATTACTTATTGAAAAAATGTAATAAAAATTAATTTACTTCCCAAAAAAAGTAATACATAGTAGGGTGGTCGTTAAAAATTAAATTCTTTCCGACGCCCAAAAAAATCCTTCCTTTCGACGAAAAACTGAGGGGAAAAAACTTTTCTTGGTTTTCATAAATAAGAACACGTGCCGACGGACAATTGAAGTTTATTTTTCAATAAAATTGTAGTTTTTTTTAAATATCACAGGATCTGGTTTTGAGAAAAAATTGTGGACTCAATTTTGTAGGAAATTAAATTCTCTACAAAAAAGGTTTCTATCAATTTTTCCATAAAGTTCATATTTATCAGGATATTCTCATTAGTAAACTTATAAACTTTATTAAGTCATTTTAGCACTAAAAACTTTATTTTTTCTGAAATATGAACAATTTTGTAACTTCTATCTACAATTATTTATTTAAATAGAATTTATGGGAATTGTTCATATTTCAGGAAAAATAAAAGTTTTAGTCTAAAAATGACTGACTTGATAGAGTATGTAAGTTTACTAATGAGAATATCTTGATAAATATGAACTTTATGGACAAATTTATAAAAACCTTTTTTGTAAAGAATATAATTTCCTACAAAATTGTCCTCACAAATTTTTCTCAAAACCAAATTCTGTAAGAGATATTTTAAAAAAACAATTTCATCGAAAAATGAACTTCAATTGGCCGTCGGCACGTGTTCTTATTTATGAAAACCAAAAAAGTTTTTTCCCCTCAGTTTTTCATCGAAAGGAAGAATTTTTTTGGGCGTCGGAAGAATTTAATTTTTAACGACCACCCTAATACATAGTGAAAATTAAACTCATTACTCATTATTTTAATAATGTGTAATGAAACCTTAATGCATTATTTGCAACTCTGATAATTATGTTTAAAATGCAAAAAATTTATTAAGGTGGACCTCGAAATAAACGGAATGACGTGCGCTAGCTGTGTCCACAAAATCGAATCGAAAATATTCAATCTCTCGGGCGTGACGAGCGCGAAGGTGGCGCTCACGACGCAACGCGGCAAGTTCGTGTACGATCCCGAGGTAACCGGCCCTCGAAACATAATAGAAGAGATCAATAAGTTGGGTTTCGAGGCGCAGATATTCGCCAGAGAACACGCCAACGACTACTTGCAGCAAAAGGAGGAGATCCGGAAATGGCGGAAGGCATTTTTGTTTTCCCTGGGTTTCGGAGGACCCTGCATGATTCTGATGATGTACTTTATGATCTTGATGTCGGTGAAAAATCACAATCACGAGGATATGTGCTGTTTAGTACCGGGTAAGTCAGAATATACCATTTTGTCCTATAACAGGCCGTTTTTAGGCCAAATGTGTATTATTTTTTTAGATGTCTTGGTGCCATCTTAATATGTCCTTTACTGTTTTAGAACTGTCTGAAATATCAAAAAACGATCTAACATGTCCCAAACTTAAACGAACTGTCCTACACTGTTTTATTACTAAATGTGTAAAACTGTCAAATCCATTTTTTGAAATTTTTTGTACCAAATGGCAATAAAAAGGGTAAAACTGAAAAAATGGACTTGATACTGTCCCAAACTCTCTTAATACAAAAATGGTCTAAATGTCTTTGTATTTTCTAAAACTGTTTTAGTATTGCCTAAAATGACTTGGCACTGTGCATAATGTCCTAAAACGATATAAATGTATTTGTACTGTCTAAAATATCTTTAAACTATATACATTTTTTAGTACCTACTTTTTAAAACTGTCTTGTCACTGCGTAAAATGTCCTAAAACGGTATAAATGTATTTGTACTGTCTAAAATGTCTTTAAACTATATTCATTTTTTAGTACTTTTTAAAACTGGTCTGCACTAACAGGATCTAAAATGCTTTGGTACTGTCTAAAACTGTCCTACACTGTTTAAGTATTGTTTAAAATGTCAACAAACGATCTGAAATGCCTTTCAATTCTCAGTACAGTCTTAAATTGTCCTAAAGTGTCTTAATACTATCCGAATTGCCTTGGCACTGCGTAAAATGTCCTAAAACGGTATAAATGTATTTATACTGTCTAAATTGTCTTTAAAGTATATTCATTTTTTAGTACTTTTTAAAACTGGTCCTACACTATTTACAATGTCCTAACACGATCTAAAATGCCTTGGTACTGTCTAAAACTGTCCTACACTGTTTTAGTAATGTTTAAAATGTCAACAAACGATCTGAAATGCCTTTCAATTCTCAGTACAGTACAGTACTTTTTAAAACTGTCTTGTCACTGCGTAAAATGTCCTTAAACGGTATAAATGTATTTGTACTGTCTAAAATGTCTTTAAACTATATTAATTTTTTAGTAGTTTTTAAAACTGGTCTGCACTAACACGATCTAAAATGCCTTGGTACTGTCCAAAACTGTCCTACACTTTTTTTAGTAATGTTTAAAATGTCAACAAACGATCTGAAATGCCTTTAAATTCTCAGTACAGTCTTGAATTGTCCTAAAGTGTCTTAATACTGTCCAAATTGCCTTGGAACTGCGTGACATGTCCTAAAACGGTATAAATGTATTTGTACTGCTGAAATTGTTCAAAACTTTTTTAGTGCTGTTTACAATGTCTTGAAACGATCTTTGTACTGTTTAAAATTTAGTACTTTAAAAAACTATCAAAAACTGTTCTAAAATTTTGTGGTTCTTTCCAAAATATAACAAAACTGTTAGTACTTTCTAAAACTGTTTTAGTATTGCCTAAAATGTCTTGGCACCGCGTAAAATGTCCTAAAACGCTGTACTGTCTAAAATATCTTTAACACGTTCACTGCCGACGTAATAGTCCGCCCATGTTGCAGTGCCGATGGCTTTTTTTAGAAATTTTAAATAAAAATGGACTAAAACTTGTTTCTTTCGTTTCTTATTGAAAGGTTCTATATGAAAAAATACTAAACAAAAAACAAATAAACAAACTCGGTAGACGCGTTGGCGGCACCCAGCGACAAAAACCATGCTTTATGCTACCGTACAGAACGCGGGTCCCGCGTGCTCGGCATATTGTAAAATACACAAGAACGCGGTAGCCGCGTTGCCGGCAGTTAAAGTGTTAAACTATATACATTTTTTATCTTTCTAAAACTGACTTGGCACTGCGTAAATTGTCCTAAACTGGTATAAATGTATTTGTACTGTCTAAAATGTCTTTAAACTATATTAATTATTTGTACTTTTTAAAACTGGTCTACACTATTTACAATGTCCTAACGCAATCTAAAATTTTTTAGTACTTTTTAAAACTGGTCTGTACTAACACGATCTAAAATGCCTTGGTACTGTCTAAAACTGTCCTACACTGTTTTAGAAATGTTTAAAATGTCAACAAACGATTTGAAATGCCTTTCAATGCTCAGTACAGTATTAAATTGTCCTAAAGTGTTTTAATACTGTCCAAATTGCCTTGGCACTGCGTGACATGTCCTACAACGCTATAAATGTTTGTATTTGTACTGCTAAAATTGTTCTAAAGATCTTTACTGTATGAAATTTAGTACTTTCAAAAACTATCCTAAAATGTTAAGTATTATCTAAACTGTCCCAAAACTGTATTAAATTGTAAATGTAAACTAAATGCAGCGGCCTTAAAAGTGTAAACTTAACTATTTAAAATATTTCCAGGTCTTTCTTTGGAAAACTTCCTAATGTTTCTCTTATCCACCCCAGTACTGATACTGGGCGGCCGCCATTTTTTCGTTCAAGCTTACAAAGCTCTGAAACACGGCACGACCAACATGGACGTGCTGATAGCGATGGCAACGTCGATATCGTACGCTTACAGCGTTGCCGTTGTCGTAGCGGCCATGATTATGCAACAAAACACGTCTCCGCTAACATTTTTCGACACGCCGCCCATGCTTTTGGTTTTTATCAGTTTGGGCAGGTGGCTGGAGCATATTGCTAAAGGAAAAACATCTGAAGCTCTGAGTAGGTAAGGGGATAGTCTATTCCTTTAGGAGTACGGAGAATATGATTTAAATGTGCAATATTTTTTAACTTTTTGTAATTTAGGTTGCTTTCTTTGAAAGCCACAGACGCTGTTATAATAACATTGGGTAAAAATGGCGATATTATATCGGAACAACAGGTAAATGTGGATTTGGTACAAAGGGGCGATATTTTGAAAGTAGTACCAGGTGCTAAGGTTCCAGTGGATGGTAAAGTTATTCAGGTAAATACAAAAATCACACGGTAACTTTTTGTTCTAAAAAGTTTCTTTATAGGGTCAATCAATGTGCGATGAAAGCCTTATAACAGGGGAAAGTATGCCAGTACCAAAAAAAATTGGTAGCTCTGTCATAGGGGGTTCCATAAACCAACACGGTTTATTAATAATAGAGGCGACTCATACAGGGGAAGCCACAACCTTATCCCAAATAGTTAAATTGGTCGAGGAAGCTCAAACCTCAAAAGCGCCCATTCAACAACTGGCCGACAAAATTGCCGGATATTTCGTACCAATAGTAAGAATATTTACCTCTAGATGGATCATCTAAAAGTAAATGGTTTATCAAAATTTTAGGTCGTTTTTCTAAGTGTTTTAACTCTGATTTCTTGGTCCATTGTTGGCGCAGTCGATATTAAACTATTACCAATCACTGAACACGAAAAACATGGTTTTAATAATACAGAAATTATTTTGCAATTTGTGTTCAGATGCGCCATAAGCGTTTTGTGTATCGCTTGCCCATGCGCGCTTGGCTTGGCCACACCTACTGCTGTCATGGTTGGAACTGGTAAGTCATTTTTTTCTATTGTTATAAGGTATAGGTACATAAATTAATTAACGTTTCCTTGAATCGTGCCGTTCCACACTGGGAGGAATTTCAAAAATCGCGGACAAAATTAGGGACACATTATTTTAAGCCATTTTAAGGTTTATGCGGTGGTAAATTTATGCTAAAATATAAATATTAATAAAATGTTTTAATTATGTACACAAATTCACAAATTTGTTTTAAAAAATTTGGAAAAGTTCGGTATTGTCGATCCTCCATTTTCCAAAAACATAAATTAATAAACAAATATATTACGCAATATTACCTACGCTAAAAATAGAAAAATAAACAAAAAAAAACAATAACGATTAAAGAATATTCGAGCAAAATCACTTATATACATTTTTTTCAATACATCTTTTCTTTGTAAATTTCGCATCTTTTGCTTTATTTATATCGACTGACTTGGTCCAAAAAACCTATATCGATGTTAAAATAACATTTAAAAGTTGACTTTAAAGCAAAACCGGTTAAATCCACGTTTTTTACCTACTCTCTAAAAATGAATTAGTCAAAAATGACTAATTTAATAGTTATTATTGGCTGCTTTTTTACTTGTACCTACCATAGTTAACCATAGAATATAATGGTATCCCAAAATTTAACATCTAATTCTTATGTAAAATTGTCCCCTGAATCGGAAAATGCCATAAAAAATTATGAAAGTGGAGCAGTTTTTGAAATATAGTCAATTCCATATTAAATGAAAAATTGACTATATCTCAAAAACTGTTTTACTTTTTTAACTTTTGACGATATTTTCGGATTCAGGGGACAATATAAAATTTATCAATAATATTCAGGTTTTCGGTTAGATACTTTAAAAGTTTGTTGTGTTTTTCTTTGTTACTAACATTTTTAATAAGTTCATACAACTTCTTATTAGTCGTTGATGGCATTTATACATAAAAAGAAGCAAGTTATTCGAATAAACATGTAATATTTATATTAATATTAATATTATAACTTACCAAATATTATTATAAAGCGTTAATAAACACAAAAACACTATGAGATTGTATGTATGATTGACTTTCACTGGAAACTGACGTTTTAGAACTAGCAAAAGGCAACTATGATGACTTATAAATATTCGACTAATATGATAAATTCATGGACATATTTTATATTCTGCTGACCAAACAGGCAAAAAAAGGCAGCTTAATTCTTTTGACTTTAAAAAAAGAAAATTTGATGAACGTTCTGGTACCAAATACTTTGCCTCACACCAAGGCACACCTAAAGAAATATCTTGTGGTTTGTAAAAGATTTATCTACTTTTAAAGGCGATGGTAAAAGATATATAAAAACCGTATTTATGGTAAAATTTGCAATTTTAGACTTTTATATGAAAGAACAAGGATGAGGAATGTGGTAAAATATACCATCATTTCCTTTCATTAATTAGGCAAAACAAAAATGGGCTTAAAAAACTTACATACAATTTGCTCTAAAAAACCGACACGAACAATGTAACTTTTTAAGCAAGTTTAAGCGGGATTTTATCATAAAAAAATATATTTCTTTTAAAATCATAATCTCTGTGCTTTCTTTTTTATAACTCGTAATTTAAAATTTACTATGTTGATTTTTACAAAATAGGGTTTTGTCCGCGATTTTTGAAATTTCTCCCAGTGTGCGTTCCCTCTCCTAAGGATGTCTGTATTAAGACGGTGGCGAAGGGTAAACCAATGATTTTTAAAAATTAAAAATCGTATACGAATTAACGGCTAAGAAAAACAATCACAAGGGTAGTCATGCGCAACGCGTCGCTAAGAGAAATTTCTTATTGATAAGGAAAAATCAGAACGTCCGCATAACGTTGAACGTTGGTTTTGCTGATTTTAAAGTGGCTTACCCCTCGCACGGTGGCCATTTTCTGGAAAACCGCAAAATATCTATTTCTTTTATATTTTTAAGATTCAAATAAGCGACTAAACTATTAAATTTATTTAACCCCCGCCAATTTACTTCTCAAAAAAAATTCTTTGGAGAATGGGATCGGTAAATAGGTCCTTAACTCCTCTTTGTTTGGAGAATTTTTTTTAAACCCTAACGCCATCTACAATTAGGGATTGCAATTGCTGGATCCCTCATCCAGCAATCCAGCTGGATCCAGCGCATTTTTCAGCCTGCTGGATCCAGCACCACAAATAATTCGTCACCCTAATATAACAAGGTTGTATGTTAAAAAACCGAAAAATTTGAGTTTATGCTTCTACAAGGTTTTATGTAATCCACCCTTGACATACAACTTGAAAATAAATCTATATACATATATGTATACATAGAATATACATTCTATAGAATTATTTTTAAGTGGTATGTAAAGCGTAGGCCACGTATAATCCTGTAGAAACATAGACTTAAATTTTTCGTTTTTTTTAACATACAACCTTGTTATATTAGGGTGACGAATTAACAATTCAAATAATCAGGCCAATTCACTAACAAAAGTCGTTAAAGTTAGCCACTAGAATTAGTGGTTATCGTTATATTTAATCGATCTGATTGGCCGGTTTTACAGATAATCACTGATTCTAGTGGCTAAAGTTAACCACTTATGTTAGTCAATTGGCCTGAATGGCGCAAAAGTCTACGTTGACAGCATTGCCGCTTTGCTGGGTGCGCTAACGCCCAAACATCCACGACAGGAACAACCTACACCGCACTTTTCGCTCTCGCTTGATAAAGTTTCATGCTAAGTGTCTTCTTGGCCGCTGTGATTGTTTGTTTTGAATTGTGAGTAATTTAACGGAATTTTAATTTATTTATTACGTTATTACAGTAGTTACATTGGGAACAAACAAAACACAAAATTTGTAATACCTAATTATTATTATAAAAAATAATAAAGATATTTATCTTATAATCTTTACATTAATTGTGTTCAAGCTTTTAAAGTAGAAATCAGTTTAATGTTCTGCAAATATTTAATTGTCCTGTACATATAATTCATATGTGGGGTTTAAAAGAGGATAAATTTACTAAAAATTGAAATATACGAAATAATGCAATATTTTTCTTTATAAAAGTTGTTTAGTCCTGTAAAAATATCTTTTTTTATTTATTTATTTATTTAAGTTCACATATTACTAATAGTAATTTACTATGGTATAGCCCTAAACCAAACCAATAGATGACTATCTTAAAGAGAATATAGTTTGGAGCCAAATGAAGCGCCCTCTCTGAACTTGGTTAAAAATTAAATTACGTGTTTACAGGCAACTCTGTGGGTAAAAGGCATAAGGGGATAAGTCAAAAAAATCAATTTTTTAGTAGAGCCTTAAACGTGCTCGCATTACCTTAGGAAATACATTTATGGTTAGCGGGTATACCCTTTTGCCAGCACATGTCATGCTAGCAAAAGGGTGTACTCGCTAACCATAAATATATTTCCTGAATTAATGCGAACACGTTTACCGAAAAATTGCTTTTTTTGACTTATCCCCTTATGCCTTTTACCCACAACTGTTGCCAACAGCTTTTAATTGGTGGAAAATCAACGTAATTGATTGAATCTAACTTGTGGCTTGATTTTAGTAACGAAAACCATAACTTTGTTTTCTACCATGTATTTAAGGTACTTCTGTGGTTATGCTGTTTAGTAATTCTCAATCAACTTATAAACTAAAGAAATTCGCAGATTTATGGAAAAGCAATAAGGAAAACAAATGTATGTAAATGTAAAACAAGTGTATTTAGTATTCATTTGTAAAATCTGTGATTCTTTTAATTTGTAAAACTCGTTGAATCATTATCATACTTATTCCCAAAAGTACCATTCATATATGCTAAGAAACATTATTTTTGTTATTTATGATAGTCTACCAAAAGTAACTGTCTCATTGATCATTATTTTGAAATTGAAGAATACTGTTAAATCCATAAATTTTATTAAACAATACATGCCTACCATCTGAAAGATTATGATTCGGTCAAAGTGTCGTTTATAAATTATTATTATAATACAAACCTTAGAAACAATACACAATAAAAACACACAAATACACAAAATCTTAAAAAAATTCGATAACTACGGATATAATTGAACGTCAAAAACATGGAGCCTACACAAGGAGCCCGAACTTAATAGGGAAAATTGACAAGACCTGCCCTCTAAATTGCACAAATTAAGTCTTTTTTTCACCACCAGCGGCGCTGATTGTTGATGCGTCCTGACGTCTGCTCTTTTGGTAGCGTTTCGGTACAAATTAGTCAATTGTTTCAGAATAAACGGTACACCAGCGCCTACTTTCCTTAGGAAGAGTCTTTTCTTGATTTGAAAATAAAGTTTATTTTTCTGCATGATCTACTTTTAATGATATGAATATTAGGGTGATTTTTTTTTCACGACTATTTTTAATTTTTCGCTCCCAACTCAAAATCTTGTTGAAAATGTTCAAAAAAAAATTTCCTGAAAATTTGAGCCCTTAATATTAACTCAAAGTACTCGACCAAAGCGTATAAAGATTTCCCATTTAAAATACACGTTAACTTTGATTATTTTTTTTTAAATATCTATATCTCAGCCGCATTTTATGCTATTGGATTGTTTCAAAAAAGGATTTAGTCGTAATCAAAAGTTCTACAAAAATGCTATATGTGCCATAGCTGTAATCTGCACATGAAGGATGGTACGGGTCACTAAATCTTATTTTAGTGAAAAATTCTCATATTTTTGAAGATAGTTCAAAAGTGACTGGATTCTTTGAAAAAATGTTAAGAACAAACTTGTAGAAAATTTAATTTTTTTTAAAAAAGGTCCTATCAGTTGAATCGCTAAGATTAATATTTGTTGAGATATAAAGCGTTTACATTGACAATTTATGAAATTTTTAGGATTTTCGTATCAAACTTTTTATAAATGATGATTTTTAAATGTTTATCAGTACAATTTCATGTAATGACGTTTTTTCTACAGTCGGGTGATTAGAGAAAAATAAATAACTAAAACAATCAAGCATAATTATTAATAAAATAACATGTTGTATGTAATACACCTCGTTATATCAATTTTTAGGTTAGATATATCTTTTCTCTTTAAAGTTATGTTATTAATAATTATGCTTGATTGTTTGAGTTATTTATTTTTCTCTAATTACCCGACTGTAGAAAAAACGTAATTTGATGAAATTTTACTGATAAACGATTGAAAATCATCATTTATAAAAAGTTTGATACGAAAATCCTAAAAATTTCATAAATTGTCAATGTAAACGCTTTATATCTCAACAAATATCAATCTTAGCAATTCAACTGATAGGAACTTTAAAAAAAAAAATTAAATTTTCTACAAGTTTGTTCTTTACATTTTTTCAAAGAATCCAGTCACTTTTGAACTATCTTCAAAACTATGAGAATTTTTCACTAAAATAAGATTTAGTGACCCGTACCATCCTACATGTGCAGATTACAGCTATGGCACATAAAGCATTTTTGTAGAACTTTTGATTACGACTAAATCCTTTTTTGAAACAATCCAATAGCATAAAATGCGGCTGAGATATAGATATTAAAAAAAAAATAATCAAAGTTAACGTATATTTTAAATGGGAAATCTTTATACGCTTTGGTCGAGTACTTTGAGTTAATATTAAGGGCTCAAATTTTCAGGGAATTTTTTTTTGAACATTTTCAACAAGATTTTGAGTTGGGAGCGAAAAAATAAAAATAGTCGTGAAAAAAAAATCACCCTAATGAATATACATATGTTATGTTATCATATCATATGTTATGTGATTTAATTGTGATAAAATAATAATAAAAGTTTTTAAGTACCTATTAAAAAAAATTATTTTTTAAAATTTTCAGGTTTTTAACTAATTAACAAAAAAAACTTTATTATACAGAGAGTTTAAAAATTAACAAAACATGAAAGTTGGTAAAATTAATATGTTTTAAATTTGTCTTGGCGAGTTATAAAATATTAGTCTTTTCTGAAAATAAAGTTTATTTTTCTGCATGCTCTACTTTTAATGATATGGAAGTATAATTGTGATTAAAAATATTAAGAGTTTTTTAAGTATTAAAAAAAATTCTTTAAAATTTTCTTTGAAAAATTTATAAATTGCTGGATCCGCGCTGGATTCAGGTGGATTTATGTTGATCAGCAAAAATCCAGCTGGATTAAAAACCCTGCTGGATTGCAATCCCTAATGCCTAGTGGTATTAGTGTCTTAAGAATGTCAAGAAGCTGACTATGACTGTCTTTATAATGTGAACTTAAAATATCTCGGGAACGGTAAAATTTAAATTCTGATGATCGGACAGACATATTTAATGTTATTAAAACATTTTTTATTTTCGTATTAAAGGTGTGGGTGCCACAAACGGAATCCTAATAAAGGGGGCTGAGCCTTTGGAAAATGCTCATAAAGTAAAAGCCATAATGTTCGATAAAACGGGAACGATAACAAAAGGAACGCCAGAGGTGGCCAAAATCTGGCTGAAAGGTGATTACATGAACCCAATCGTGATTTTATCAGTTTTGGGATGCGCCGAAAGCAACTCTGAACATCCAATAGGACAAGCGATTATCAAATATGTGAAGGAAGTTTTTGGTGAGTATATTTTTAGAGAGACAGTTTTTAAAATAATGAAGAAAACATTTCTTTATAGGATGCGATATTGGGGGATCCTCAAGCAACTTCCAAACGGTCCCCGGATGCGGATTAAAATGCACCGTCTCCAATTTAGACCAAATGGTGAACAACGGAAAAAACAGCCCGGAATTGAACAACTTTTCCTCTCTGGTAACAGCCGGAAGTTCCGGTTTGTTCACGCTGAAAAACGTACAAATCGAAGTGAGTCATTCGCAAAACATGCGTCTCGGACAGCTGATTGGTGTAACCACCAGCAACGAGGAGCTATTGGTCGAATATGAAGTCATTATAGGTAAGTTTTATAACGTTTTTGTTTGTTGACATTTTGGACTTTTTTAATATGGCGGCATCTGATGATAATAAAAAGTAGTTGAATAAATCTTCGTAAAATGGTGAAAAATTAATTGTTTAACATCGTCAAATTAAGCTGAATCTTATATTTATGTGTTACAAGATTTCGTTATAATTTGGGTTATATTTTAGGAAATAGGGAGTGGATGAACAGAAATGGCTTCACCGTCAGTGATGAAGTGGATAGAAAAATGTCTGCTGAAGAGGAACAGGGCACTACTGCGGTAATTTGTGCCATAAATGGTACGAAAAATATCACTATTATTGGGTTTTAAAATTTCAGGAAAAATTGAGCCAGCGGAAAAACCCGTTTTTTCAGAAAAAACGGAAATCCTCAGAAAAATTGATTTTTCATTTTATTCAAAGGGTACCTACTGCAAAAAGGCAAAAGTATTTTTTCTGAATTTTTTTACGGATAATATACGTACACTGATATTGAGAAAAAAGTAAATTTCCGACTCTGATTATAATAAAAATATATATTTTATTATATTAAAAATATTATTTTATTATATATATAGTAGGGTGTTTCAAAAAAATCGACTTTTTCTTTTTATTCAAATGGTCGGCAAATTCTTTCAGAGGATGTCAACACATAGACCTCTTCAAAATTTGAGCTTTTAATTTGAAGATTTAGAGGTCTCGGATCGCAATTTTCTATTTCCCAAGGTCTCCTAACATTTTTCTATAAATTGATTCCTTCCAGAGTTATTCGAGGCCAAAGTTTGATTTCCATCGAATTTTCGCGCTTTTTTAACATTTTTGGTACAATTATCATTATACGGGTGTCCCGAAATTAGGGAGCCAAACTTAAACAGTGCATTATTCGTATAAAAATAACACTTTTATGTTTAATAAACATGTATCAAAAAATGTTCCCTAAAGGAGCTACGGCCCCCTGAATAGGAGCCTAAGAGGATAATTTTTTTTAAACTATTCCTAGAGGGTTGAACATGAACAAATGAATTTTCGGTACTTTGTAGAGGTGGGAAGTTTAGTTCACTTTGCTGATTTCGATCTTTCGATCTCGTTCATTAAAGTGAATAGTACAAAAGACTAGTTCGTTTAGTTCACTGATTTATAATCGGATTTAGTTCAAGTGAACTATATTCCTTGCAGTGATCGAGATTGATTGATTGATTTGCACCAAAGATGCTGGTCAAAATGGTACACTGTTGCCATTAAGTGGTTGATTTGGTTGCCTATTTTAGGGACAATTACGAATTTGCGTGAAAAAAAATCCATTAGTAAATACGAATATAATAAAATATATTTACGGATTTTTAGTTTAGTTCGAATTGATTCGCTCTTTTTATTTTTGGTGATTGAATCTTTTAGTTCAGTTAAGAAATTCGATCTTTTGAACTAGTTCGTTCGCGAACTACACACCTCTAGTACTTTGGTAATTTTGACATGCTGAATCTAGATCTATGATCAAAACTGTTAAAATTTAATCATAGGCGTAACATTTGGAGGGGGCAAAGTTACAAAAATACCCCCAACTTTTTTCTGGGTTAATAATTTAATTTTTTTTATGAAATTATGATAATTTATAGTTTTTACGAAAAATAGGTACTCTTGATTTGAATTGCTCAGATGCACCATTTTCGAGAAAAATGCATTTATATATAAATTACTCTGCATATTATACACATCTCATATTTTCATTAAAACTTTGTAGTAGGCTTTGGAAAAAAGTGACGTTTTTTTGTTTTTCTGTTTTTTTACAACACTTCCTATGTTTCAGATATAAATATGTGATTTTTTTACTACATGATGCTAAAAGTTGAAAAATCGAGAAAATTCGATGGAAATCAAACTTTGGCCTCGAATAACTCTGGAAGAAATCAATTTATAGAAAAATTATAAGAGACATTTTTTATAGAGCGTTAAATTTACTATAAAAATCTATGATGTTCCTTGCCATAAGTTGATTTGATATAGACGTATAAAATTCCAAAGTTAAAAAAAAAAATTCCTATGTTATTTAAATGGGAAATAGAAAATTGCGATCCGCGACCTCTAAATCTTCAAATTAAAAGCTCAAATTTTAACAAGGTCTTTGTTTTAACATCCTCTGAAAGAATTTGCTGACCATTTGAAGAAAAAGAAAAAGTCGATTTTTTTGAAATACCCTAATATATAGTGTGTGCTGGGATAGGTGAAACGACTCTTGTAAAATCAAAAAAAAAATTAAAATTTAATTTTCAGGGGATTAGCCCTGCTTGATAAAAGATTAATTTTTAACATAATTTCAATTTTGAAAAATCAAGTATGCCTTGGAAATATTAAAAAACTATTTTTTATGTAGGTAAAGTGCCTTTCATATGGGATATACGTCAAAATATTTAAAAAAAAAGTTGTTAAGAATCATGTTTTAGGTCCATATACCAAATTTCAAATTTCTTGGCCACTTTGATTTTGTAAAAATCTAGGTAATAAAAAAATTTAAAAAAAGTGGGCCAATAAATTTGAAATTTAGTATATATACAGTGTGACCCATTTGTTTGCAACTCACCCCTGTAAAAGCTTTATTTATTTTGCGATTTTAACCGGATTTGTTTTAAAGTGTAGATCTTGATAAACTGTATTTTTGGAGCAAGACGCCATATTAGTACAAAAAACACCGCCTACTACTAGTACCATGTTACTATTAGTTTAATTTTATTTCAATGTTTTTTTCATGGATAACTTGACCAAATAAATTTTTGTAGTAATTTTTATAAAATTTTTGTATAAGGTCGTTTTGAGGGGTGGTGAATCCAGTGCTGTGCTTAGATTTTGTTTAAAAAAATCGCTAATATGAATTCTTAAAAACTTACTCTTAAAAACTGACATAGTAGGCCTACAGTTTAAAACAAATCCGGTTAAAATGGCACAATAAATAAAGATTTTACAGGGGTGAGTAAACAAACCGGCCACACTGTAGACCTAAAATATGATTCTAAACAACTTTATAATATTTTGTCGTTATCCCATGAAAGGCACTTTACCTGTACAAAAAATAGTTTGTGAGCGATTGTCCATTAATTTATCTACAATATTCTTTAATATTCGTTTAAATCCGACATCAAATAAAAAAGTTATTTGCGATTGAAATTCATCGAAAATTTGTGTGGATCGAATATTTTGCACGTGAGTGTATTATATTCATATGCATATTATATAATAATCATTATATACATAATAGAATATTATTGTCAATATAATAAAACATAGAAATAAAATATACCTACCTAATAATCAGAGTCGGAAATTTATTTTTTTCTCGATATCATGATTATAATAATTATTCCTATTATTTTAATTTAGTACCGGGCCGCAAAACACATATTTGGTGCTGTATAAAAAAAATTATCATTTTATTTGACACATCAATTTATAAAACTATAAATTAACTTTATAAATCATTCATTACTTTCTACATGGATATTTAGATTTAGATTTGCAAAAAGGACCCAACCGTTTACGTTTATTTTCTCAAATCAATTAAATTCAATACATTGTTTAGTTTTACTTGCTTTTTTCTGTAATAAAGTATTTTTTCCTAATTAGAATAATGTTGAATGGTACTTTTACTAAAATGATTATATTTTCCAAAAAATATCAACTTTTCCCAAAAAAGACAATCAAGGCCTGGGGAAAAACGAAAAAAAAAAACAGTTTTGCCGTTTTTTTTCGACTCTTTTAAACCCTACCTATTATAATAATTAAAAAAAACATTTTACGTTATATATTATACAGGGTGTTTCATAATATATGCGCAGGACTTCAGGATGTGATAGCTCATCCAAAAAGATGAAAAAAGTCGCTATTAACTTACCCTCTAAAATGCACAATTTTCGAGATACGGGGTGTTGAAATTTTAGAAAAAAAATCGTTTTTTTAGATTATCTCTGGAACCGTTTATCGTACAAAAAACAGCTTTTGTAAGCATTTTCTACTCATAATAAGCTATGTTTTGTGCCAGAAAAAATTTTTTTTTACTTATAATTGGTGGAGATTTTGAAGGGGGAGCGGGTGTTTTTCTCCTCAACTTCAACGCCCCTAAAAAAAGTACGGTTTTGAGAGGCCCATTCGAACCGTCAATGTTTTCTACAGAAAAAAGGTACTCTTGGTCATAAGCTCTAAAGTTGACCGTTTTCGAGAAAAATCAACTTTTATGTTTATGTTTTAATTTTATTACTAATTAAACAAAATTTATTTTAACGTTAGAAAAAGTAGCAAAACCAAACGATAATTGCAAAATTAAAAAAAAAAATAAAAAATGATTTTTTACTCAAATGCTGAAATGTGCGAAATGCGTTACCTTTACGGTTTGGAGAATTAAGCAAAGACAACTTTTAAATCATTTTTTATTTTGCAATTATGGTTTGGTTTTGTTACTTGTCCTAACGTTAAAATAAATTTTGTTTAATTAGTAAAAAAAAAAAATATTTTTTTTTTAAATTGACCATGTTTTTAAACATAAAAGTTGATTTTTCTCGAAAACGGTCAACTTTAGAGCTTATGACCAGGAGTACCTTTTTTGTGTAGAAAACATTGGCGGTTCGAATGGGCCTCTCAAAACCGAACTTTTTTCAGGGGCGTAGAAGTTGAGGAGAAAAACACCCGCTACCCCTTCAAAATCTCCATCAATTATGGGGGAAAAAAATTTTTTTCTAGCACAAAACATAGCTTATTTTGAGTAGAAAATGCTTACAAAAGCTGTTTTTTGTACGATAAATGGTTCCGGAGATATTCGAAAAAAACGAATTTTTTTCTAAAATTTTAACACCCTGTATCTCGAAAATTGTGCATTTTAGAGCGTAACTTAATAGCGACTTTTTTCATCTTTTTGGATGAGCTATCACATCCTGAAGTCCTGCGCATATATTATGAAACACCCTGTATATATATTATAGGTGAAATTGTGGCAATGCTCAGCATAGCGGATACAGTGAAACCGGAAGCACATTTGGCAGTCTACACGTTGAAGAAAATGGGGTTAGAAGTGATACTTTTGACCGGCGATAATAGAAAAACGGCAACCAGCATTGCAAGACAAGTGGGTATAAACAAAGTTTACGCGGAGGTGCTACCCTCTCACAAAGTGGCGAGAGTTCAAAGGTGAAAATACGTTTTTTATTTTAGTCAAATAATTTTTACCTTATTTCCTCTTAGACTGCAACAAAAGGGCATCAAAGTGTGCATGGTGGGAGACGGCATAAACGATTCTCCCGCGCTTGCGCAGGCCGACGTTGGCATGGCGATCGCCGCCGGAACCGACGTGGCGGTGGAGGCGGCGCACGTTGTGCTCATGCGCAACGATCTTTTAGATGTCGTCGCCTGTTTGCTGCTGTCCAAGAAAACTGTGAACAGGATACGGCTGAACTTTTTGTTCGCCAGTGTATACAATCTATTGGGTGAGTTGTGACACATTATATTTTTCAGTATGTGCGGTTTTGGAATTTTGTAACTATTGGCGGATATAAGTTTTGAATTAAAACCCTTTAAATCAGGGTTAGAACAAGTCATGACATTTTTTATTTAAAATATACAGTTCAAAACAAGTTAAATAATAGTATATTATGTACCCAGTTTGCCATTTTAGTCACGAATTTAATTCAGGCACAAGCAAGCTTGCAATCAAGTGTTTCATTAAATGAGTGCCTAGAAAAGTTTATAAACGAGTTGCATACTATACTTGTTCTACGACAAATATTTTATATTATCTAAAAAATGATTTAAATGAAATATTTGTATAAAGTGACATCAATGCGAAAATAAAGTAACATTTTTGCCGTAATTTTCAAAATATGATTATGTTAAAGAAATATTTTATCCTTTTATTTTTTTATTACTATAATTGCAAAATTCTTACAAGGGAAAATGTACAAAAAGAGAGTTGTATTTATTGGAATTCCCGTTAGAATTTCTAACTTGGGAATCTAATGGAATAAATTTTTCTTCGTAAATCAAAATTTATTCCTTGAAAATACACCAACAATCGATATAAAAGCAGTTTTCATAGTAAAAGAGAAGATAATGCACTACTACGACTGAATAAAAAGGTCAGTTTGTTCAGATAATCTTTTTAAATATTGGCGTCAAGAAACTATTTAATACTTTTGTTTTTTTGTATTGAGATAATAAAATAATTTTCACATTTAGTATTATTTTACAAGAAAGGCACTTTATTTTAACGATTGTATGACATTTGGCAACTGTCAACTAATTTAAAACTTCAGGCCGTGACTAAAAACCTATTGCTAACTTTAGACCATACCTAAAGCGCCATAAAGCCACAACTTGTCAATGTGTATTTAAGAGGTCACTTTGTGTCATGGAAACATGTATGTACAATAATGGACTTATTAATAGTGGAAGAAGAAAAAAATAAAAATCTATTTAAACGATTTTTATTCAAACTAATTTTAATTTTTTATTACAGAATTTTAATTTTATTTTATAACATGCTTCACCGGAAAATATTTGACTTTAAATTTTCTTTTTACCATATTTTTGAAATTCTGCCAAGCCAGATAATATTATGTTTAGTAGTATATTATACTACTATACTTATATACTCCTATTGCATACTTTTTTTCATTGAGAGAAATAAAATGAAATAAAGGAGAAATTAAAAAGTGAGGTTAGATCATTTGACAGATGTTCTATTTTATTTAGTATACCAGGAGCGCGTTCGAAAACTCGCAAGAGTGCACTCTGTATACACTCCAAGTTTACCTTGCGCGTTCGAAATCTCTGGTATATACCTAGATATATGCAACTGTCAACTGTTCGAAAACAGCAAGTATATGCCCAGAGTGCACTCTCGGTTGTCCAAGCTTTAGACTTGGTTAAGTTTTACCCGTCATGCGCAAAGCCTATGCGGCATAGGGTACATCAAACAATAATTTTAATTTACCTTCATATAATTTATTAATAAAAAAAACGAAAAACAGTTAAATAAAAGAATTTATTTAAAATAAATTATTTAAAAAATATAAACTCTAAAAAAAACAAACAAAAAATAGCACAAAACCTACACAATATTTTAATAATTATATGTATTCAGTCAAATAACAAGCAAAACCAATTGGTTTTAGAAAACTACAACATAAAGTTTATAGGTATATGCTCCGCGGCGTTCGAAAATAACAAGGAGGTCAGGTATAATTAGTCCTGTCAATCGAGAACTGCGATAATACCCGCAATAGGTTTTCAAAATGCTCACAGTTATCCTCGCAATAAAATCAAAATCCTCACAAAATCCTCACCAAAACTTAAAAAAATAATAAGATATACAATTTAATAAGTTATCACTTATTTATATTAAAAAACATTTATATCATCACAGATTTTTTTATTAAAAACAAATAATAAACTATTAAAAAATTAATTTTTTAATTTTATTTATAAGTAAATACCTACTCACTTAAAAAATAATTATTAAAATAAAGTTTTTCAACAGTATATTATTGATAACTTACCGTGTTTGAACTTAATTTCTTAAGCCACTTATCCATTACTTTAACTTTTAATCAAATAAAATTAACCCATGCAAAATAAACGAAGTTTTTGTTTTTATTACATTTTAATCTTATTCTGTTGGCACACATGATTTCGTTTGTATTTTACACAAATATGTGATGTCATAGACTGTCAGTGCCATCTCTAGTCAACAGTCTGAACTATCGATCATCAGTGTTGCCGGACTTACCGAAAAATAAATAATTTTTTTAAATAAATTAATAATTTTTATACTATTAAAATAATTTTTTTAAATAAATTAATAATTTTTATACTATTAAATAATTCAATGTTTCCAGTAGTATAGTAGTAATCCTCACAAATCCTCACAAAAAGTTAATCCTCACACTTTACCCCACAGCATATCTAAATGCTAAATAAATTAATAATTTTTATACTATTAAAATAATTTTTTTAAATAAATTAATAATTTTTATACTATTAAAATAATTCAATGTTTCCAGTAGTATAGTAGTAATCCTCACAAATCCTCACAAAAAGTTAATCCTCACACTTTACCCCACAGCATATCTAAATGCTCACCGATGTGAGCATTTACCCGCAAATTGACAGCACTGGGTATAATGTAAAGTTACGTGATTATATACTTATCCTTATACCATATCCAAAGTAGACTCTCATTTCGAACGCACTCCTGGGGCGACTATGATATTTTTGGACTTTCAACTACCAGATTGCGGCCATTTCAAGCGGATGGACGGGACAAATCACAAAACTGTTTTTATAAAAAAAATTGTAGCTAATTTATTATATATTATTTTTGCATCAAAATTGTCAAAAAAATTCTTCTATTATAAGGGTATACATTAAATTAAAAAAATCGCAAGAAATATTTTATAAAAGTAGAGATAATTTCAATAATTGACAGGGATGGACGGGACAAGATAAATCTTTTTTTTGTCCCGTCCACACCTTTCAATTATTAAAATTATATCTATTTTCATAAAATATTTCTTGAGTTTTTTTTATTTAATGTATAACCTAATAAAAGAAGAATATTTTTGCCAATTTTGATGCCAAAATATTATATAATAAATAATCTACAATTTTTTTTATAAAAACTGTTTTGTAATTCGTGCGTTTCGCGCGCTTGAAATGGCCGATTGGTCCAAATCACAATGAATAATGAAATCGGCCAATCACTGATGCCGTTGTTAGGTTATAGTCATATAGTCTTAGCGATGACCTAGTTTCTTTTTTTGAGGGGAAATTTGTCGATTTGTCGTATTATGTTACCTTATGCGCATGGTCAGTTTATAAGTGGGGGATTTAAAATATATGATACCATAGACATAGTAATACGTCCACGTATGATACGAATTGTCAACTAAATAAAATTTAAATTATATCAAATTTTTCTAAATCATTTGCTTACTTCGCCTAGGTTAAGTTTACATAAATTTCTGTGGTTTGGCTTTATAAAAAGCAAAAAATGGCATAATATGCCAAAATAATTGGCACACAACAAAAAAACAAACAAAATGGTTACTTTTTTGTGGCATTTAACCACTGTTTGCACAAATGAAAGTTTTTCGGGAATCGATGAAATTTAATTTTTTTATTTAAAGGGTTTTTCTTGGACTGGTTGTCCGAATTGCATCCAAATATGCCACACCGAATTTTAATAAATGCAAATGGCACGACACAAACTAAAACACAAACAAAACAGGTTAACACAACGCAATAACAATAATTTGAACACTGAAAAGTAATTCGAACCTTACCAAACGCAAAAACAACAAGTTAAACAAAAAATAGAGCAAGTTAACATCCAACAGCATCGCAAAAACAAGAATTTTAGTAGCAGATAAATAAAATGCATGTTAAACACTCAACAAGTGACGTATTTAAGCCCCGCCCAACATGCGCACTATCCTATCTTAAGGTGTATGTATCTTGTTGTACATGTGTGGAGGTATGTGGCTCCACATCAAAGTCTTACTTTGACATTTGAATAAGGAATGCAGTCACATAATTAAGTCAGATTAACGCTATTTTCGGATTGTTTTCAAAAAATATGACAATATACATGGTGTCCCTGAAATGCCTGTATAAAATGATACCACATATTCCTGAAACTGAAATAATAAGATATAACTAAATTTTCTCATATACAAAAGTTGATAATAAATAACCAAAGTTGAAAGTTTTTCTTCGAATTTTTTAAATAACTTTGGAAAAAACAATACAATTTTATTTTTGGGGCTTTTCAGACTGAGAAAAATAAATACCTAATAAAAAAATGTTGGTTGTAGAGGGCGCTGTCTGCGACACTTTGAATACGTCACATCTTTTTTGTGTCTTAGTGTATTCACGTTTTTTGCGAAGTTAATATAAAACCCGCTAATTTGTTTCTCAAAAATGCGCAGTGTTGCCATAATATTATGTAACAAAAACGTAACATTTCCTTCTTAGGAATTCCGTTGGCAGCCGGCGCGTTCAGCTTCGTCGGCTTCATGCTGGCCCCGTGGATGGCCAGCGCGGCCATGGCCTTGAGCAGCGTTTCCGTCGTCGGCTCCAGTTTGCTCCTGAAAACCTGGAAAAAGCCGACGAAACGCGATCTGGAAACCGTGGAATACCTCCAGTCCATAGACGACCGACAACTGGACGCCATCTCCGTTCACAGAGGTCTGGACGATCTGGAGAACGTATCGGCAACGCCGACAAGCTTATCCAGGTACGATTTAAGGTGTGCGGATTACTAAAACTAGGTGGCGCTGGTACACAAGGTGGTTTTTGGAGGTAGAACCAAACTGTTTAAAATAACCACTACTGTTGACAGTTTGTTCGATTGGTTGTGGTGGGTTTAATTTTGTTTAATAACCAGATTATAAATAATAACCACTATGTTATAGTGTGTGTTCGTTCACAGATAGAGTTTATTTTTTATTGCAAATTATATTCTCGAACACGCTGTATATGTTTGTTAAAATTTGAGATTATTAGTCGTATATTGTTTATAGTTAACTATGATAGTTAATATTAGAATTTGTAGTACTTTTTATTTTTTATTCTAGAAAAAAATTCGAAATTGCTGATAATAGAGAAAATCGAAAATCGATTTAAGTATAAAAAAATCGTAGTAAGTTTATTCTTATCAATTTTAATTTTGCTTTTTTATTTTTTTTTGTATGCATGTTTTTTTGTTTAACTGTGATTCTAATTTATTTATTTTTTTGTTACCATAATAAAATTTTATTTTATTTTTCATTCTTTATTTTTGTATGTCTGTGCTTGTCTAACCTTAATTAAGCTATTTTATTTTATTCATTTTATTTAACACTTTTTTGGTAAGTATCATTTTTATTTATTAATTTCAGACTGACTTCGCCAAATAAAACTTTGCTTGTGAGTTTCTTTCTCTAATAGCTAACTTTTGGGTATTTTATTAAAAAATAATGGGTGTTTCCAAATAAGTTGTCATCCTTTAAGGGTTTTTCCTCTATCAAGTTATAAGTAGAAATTTTGGGCCGCCACTGGTTGTTCCTGGCCTATGAGACGCTAAATATGCTTGCACAGTGGGCAATAATCTACATTCATTAAACATTTTTTTGTTATCATTGATTACTTTGTTGATAATTGTTTTTGATAGAGGAAAAACTTTCTTGTCTTGGCGTGTACTATCATCCCCCCAAAGGATGACAATTTATTAGGTGGTATATAGGTACAGGGACTAGCCTAAACGACTTTTTAACTATCTTATGGTGCGTATACACTATGCGAAATGATTCGTCTAGTGTGTACACTCCTTTACATTATTTGCTAAATACATTTTACATTATAAAAATTTGTTTAGGAATAATTTTTGGGGTTTAATTATTTTAAAATGTTTAATAATTAAAATTGTATTTTTTTTTAGATTCTTAAACAAAGGAGGTAAAACTTCGAAAAGACTGTGTGTCAATGACGACGATGACGTCAGCGTGGATTTTGGTAACAAAAATGGCCGCTACGATGCCAACGAGCCGCTCATGTAAATATTTATTTTAAAGAAACTGTAAAATATTTTTATTTGTGAAATAAAATAAAAATTAAGTCTAACCAGGTACTTAAATATAAGTTAGGTACTTCCAAGGCAACCAGAAATATACAGGGCCGTATTTATTAAATATTTTTTATCTTAACAATCTTATTTAATCGCCATAAACAAAATATATTCCTCATGGTTACTTAATTTTTTAATTATTAAAGCATTTTTCTTAATTCACACTGAATACTGCCCAAGTTGTTTTGTTATTCTTATTCTCTCTAATTATATTTAAGTGAAAATATATGTGATACTTTTTAAATATTTTGAAATGATTTTTTGTAATATTATTAATATATTAATATTTATTTTATATAAAAATCTATATAGCGTTGTACGATATTTTATTTTTTAATAAAATTATGTAAACACACAGAAAATAGTTTAATTTTTTTTCATCCTATTTTTGGATTATAATATCATCCAAAAATATTATGTGAATAGTAAAAAATCCTGACATATTTGATAAAGTGTGTTTGTTTGCCTTCCAGGCAGCAACGGAATGACTTGATAGTTTGCTTAGAGATAGTATATAGGATACTTTTTTGGCTATTTTAATTATTTCATTATTTTTTTACCCAGAATCTAAGAGTTTTTTTGAGACGTTGCTAAATTTCCAAAAATTCCACAGCGTTTGTCTGTGAGGCACAAATTAGCAACGCAGCCATGGCTGCAGCATCTCCTATAATATATATATATATATATATATTATATGGTGATGAATTGTGCAATACGCACGAAGGCATGCGCATAGCGACGTTTCGTGCAAGTCTTGTCGTTTCAAAATCTCGGTCCTGCACGATTTTTATTGCCAGTTGCATGCAAATCTGGTGGAAAATTTGGTTACATTTTTTAAGCGTACAAAAATTTTCACATTACACATAATTTTCCACGCCGCTGTCAACTTTGTGTGTAACGGCGGGATAGTTGAACATTTATTATGATTTTGTGGAACACTTAAAAAATAGCTACATGAGCATCAATCAACGTAAAAAGTGAAAGGTGAAATTTAAAATCGACGGAAAAACCACGGAAACCTCGAGATAGCTAACAATAAAAAGTAAGTATTGTTTTATTCAAAGTACCTAAAAAAAGTATGCAAAACAAAAAACAATTATAAACAAAGTAATCAATGATAACACAAATGTAAAAGTTAAATGTTGATAATATTCCACTGTAGCGGCCCTAATTTTCTACTTTTCTTTTAAAAATTTTAATGATTTTTTATTATAAAAAAAGGCACTAATGCACCCTGTATAATGACAAAAATTGGTTTGGAAGATTTAGGTGGACATATGCAAGAACAAGTGCAAAAACGAGTTACCGAGTTTTGTAAAAAACTTAAAGAACGCTGGACTAACTCCAGGATTCAGATAAAATAAGAAAAAATAAGATGACACGTTCCTATACAAAAATTTCCTACTTGCCCTCCTTACGGAGACATGGGCCCCGAAACGACTCCCCTTCAAATTGGTTTTCCTTGAATAACTTTTAAAGTACTGAATATAATTTAACACAAATTTAATATGATGGACCTCTGAAAATCCTCATGCGACTATTGTTTCGCATTATCAACATCAGTTCCAACCAATCTAGGCAGGAATCATTCGCAATATTTTGATTGGACCATTCGTATTGCCGGCACGATTGAATGGACAACTTTATTTGGAGTTTCTCCAGAACGCTTTTCGGGATTTAATAGAGCCCTTACCACTTGAAAGTTTCAAGTTGAAACCCGCCTAAACATGTACTTCTTGCACCACCTCATTTCAGCGTTGCTGTGTGACTTGAATAACGTTTATCCAAACCGTTGGATAGGTAGAGGAGGACCTATCAGCGTTGCCATTCGTACGGTAATTACCGTATTTGTACGGTAATTTGAATGAAAATACGGTATACGGTACAAACCTCAATACCGTACACAAATGTACGGTAAATTTACTAACTGACATATTTTCATACATAATATCCCAGATAGCACAAAGGTATACTATGGACGTCCAATGGACGTATGCTCGTCTGTATGTACATAGGATGTCCATTTTTTTTCTATGGACGTCCCATGGACATCCGTTTAGCGTCCAGATGTCACAACTTTGGACATCCATAAGGCGTCCACCGATGGACGTCTATAAGGTGTTTGAACCATTCCTCCAGCATCCAGGACCTGCTTTTTTGCTTACTTTAACTGTTTTTTGCGACTGTATTTTCATTGCGATGTTGCAGAAAATTTTCTGTCTGGCTCAGTAACAATCCCACTAGGAATATAAATATTCTAAAAGTTGTTAAAAGTTACAACATTCAATGTTGAACATTGCAGGAAATCCTTGTATTCGACTCAGGAACATTACATTAGCAATACTACAAGTGTTTAATATTTCATTGATAGCTTAAGTCCTTTATAGCACGCGCTTGCTTGAATGTCAGTGAGATTGATCATAACTGTTGTTATGCAGCCAACAATACGTTTTAACTTGCATTTCTGTAATAATAATTATGGACGTAAAATGGACACTATATGGACGTCCATTAAAATCGTACAAAGGATGTACACGGAACAATTACATCCAATGGATATCCAATGGATTTCTTTTATGGATATCCAGGATATACATAGGATATCCGGGATATCCAATGGATAACCATTGGATATATAAATGTCCGACCCTCCTGGACATAGTGTGGATATCCAATGGATACCCAGTGGATATAGTATTGTATGCAATAAGGTTGTAATCTGTATTCAATATGGAGATTGTATGGATATCCAATGGATAACCATTGGATATATAAATGTCCGACCCTCCTGGACATAGTGTGGATATCCAATGGATACCCAGTGGATATAGTATTGTATGCAATATGGTTGTCATCTGTATTGGATATGGTGAATCAATGGATATTTACTTTTCAATAAATAACATTGGGTTTTAAAATAAAAGTCTTATTCTTTAATTTAAATATTTATTTTTATGAAAACATAAAATAGAACAGAAAACTACATATAACTAAAGAAGTGCTTGCCATCACTCCTCCAGCTGTCATTTGCCTTTTTATCAGCCTAATCATTTAGGGCCTATTTCACCTGTCTCCTTATGATCCCCAAAATTTGGCCAATCCATCAGCCCATTTGTTTAACATGGCACAATGACTAATGTACCATGCCCACCAACACTGACAGACAGACTGTTTCGACCTGTTGGGTCTCATCAGTGTCAGGCAGTTGGTGCCGAGAGACACGCTTCAAGCCAAGCAACCGCCCACCTATATACTAGTTGGGCGACCTGGACAGCGGCGAGATGCAGCGGCAAGGTAATATGGTGACATTTATCTTCTGTGTTCGCCGGCAGTGTTGTCAGACGTTTAAATAATTTCAGAAAGCTCATCAAAATGGCGGTTATATTATTAAATCTTTAATACTTAATTAATTAGTATACCTAGTATACCTATTTGACATAAATGTGGTGAATAATTATTTTAAATTTATTTAATTTATTTATTAAAACTTAATAAAGTACGGAAATATATTTCGTTTAGTTATTTTGCTTATAACCGGCAACACTGCAGATTCTCAAATTCAGCGCGTGCGTAGTACATATATGAAATACAATAATAAACAAAAAGGACTTTTTTAAGTAATTTTTTATTGTATTGCAGACTGTCATAGTCATATTATTAACAGAAATAATATTATTAATATATAAATATTATTATCTGGGTAAAGTGAACATTTCAAAATTAAAAATTTCGTAGCTCTTGGCAAAAAATCAATTTAACGTAAAGTCGTTTTTTTTTACATATGCTAGTTTAAACCATCACAAAATCCCACATGTATACATACAAGTATATATACAAGATATCCATATCAGTTATCCACCGGATATCCAGTGGATATCCAGTGGATATACATTAGATGTACAGTGGATATACTTTGGACATACATTAGTTATCCATTGGATATATATTAGAGATACTTTGTTGAAATTGGGTTAATAACGATTTAAATCATATTTATTAATAATTACATAAATTTATCCTATAAGGGGCTATTTTAAAAAAGAAAAAAATATTTTTAATGTTTTTGTTTTTATTTGAACATCCAGTATGGATATCCATCGGATATCCAGTGGATATCCAGTGGATATACATTAGATGTACAGTGGATATACTTTGGACATACATTAGTTATCCATTGGATATATATTAGAGATACTTTGTTGAAATTGGGTTAATAACGATTTAAATCATATTTATTAATCATTACATAAATTTATCCTATAAGGGGCTATTTTAAAAAAGAAAAAAATATTTTTAATGTTTTTGTTTTTTTTTTGAACATCCAGTATGGATATCCATTGGATATCCAGTGGATATCCAGTGGATATACATTAGATGTACAGTGGATATACTTTGGACATACATTAGTTATCCATTGGATATATATTAGAGATACTTTGTTGAAATTGGGTTAATAACGATTTAAATCATATTTATTAATCATTACATAAATTTATCCTATAAGGGGCTATTTTAAAAAAGAAAAAAATATTTTTAATGTTTTTGTTTTTTTTTGAACATCCAGTATGGATATCCATCGGATATCCAGTGGATATCCAGTGGATATACATTAGATGTACAGTGGATATACTTTGGACATACATTAGTTATCCATTGGATATATATTAGAGATACTTTGTTGAAATGGGTTAATAACGATTTAAATCATATTTATTAATCATTACATAAATTTATCCTATAAGGGGCTATTTTAAAAAAGAAAAAAATATTTTTAATGTTTTTGTTTTTTTTTTGAACATCCAGTATGGATATCCATTGGATATCCAATGGATATCGTAAAAGGCATGGATGTTATATGGACATTGGGATAGCCATTGGATATCCATTGGATAGCGTGTTCTGTGTGGGGATGTTGTTTGTTGATGTTTTGTTTACGATGTTTAAGTTGTTTTGTTGACTGTACATGTTGTTGCTTGATGTGTAGGAGTTGTAATTGACGTTTTCTGTTATTAGAAAATTGTGTTTAATCCTTTTATATAAATATTCTAACAAAAATAAAATAAAGAAAATAAAATAAAAATTTTAAACCCTTATCATTCTAAAACTATTTGTCAGAAAAAATAATTGAAATTTTGTATGTACTTAAAATAACCCGTTAATATACCGTTGGTGCGTCATTTTGACGCATGTATAACAGATGACAACTGTCAATGAACATAAAACTAACTTCAGCCTGTGACCAAAAACCTGTAGCTAACTTCAGCCCGTGACTAAAACGCCATAGATACAGTTTGTCAACGTGAGTAAAACACAGGATACATTTAATAATTTATTAGGTAAATAATTAAAGGACTAGAACATTTACATTTTGGTTAAATTACAAATAAATTATTAAATCAGACTTATAAGGAAATAATGTTTGTACTACATTAAAAAACACCTATTTTTAAAATAGACGAATTTTCTCGAATTTAGTGATATTTAAAGCTCTATAGTCTATCTACAGATGTAAAAAGTGGTGTTGACAGTCGAAAAATGGCAACACACCAACATAAATAAATAAATAATACTATTTTTAGTTAGTTTTTATCATGTCCCATGATGGGGCTTCAAATTTCTCCCCGTGGGTTAACTTATGCGATATATAATAATGTTTCATAACGAATTGTTTCTGGCAAATCTCGCACGTAAAATTCGACTGTTTATCGTGCGTTTTTTTGTGTTTCAACAGATTATCGCGCCTGGAAAAACTCTTGTCGCATATGTTGCATTGGTAATTTTTTTGGCCCGAGTGCAACGTCATATGACGAAGCAAGTGCTCTTTCCTCATGAACGCTTTATTGCACATCTCGCACCTGTACGGCCTGAACCCGGTGTGCAACTTAACATGCTGATACAAATGCTCGCGACGCTTGAAAGATTTCTTGCATATGTCGCACGTGTGGGATTTTTTCATGTTGTTTGTGGTAGTAGTGTCGATTATCACCGCTGGGGCGTCGGCCTCGACCATCTCCACCTTTGGCGCCGCTATTGTAACGTGCTGTATTATGTTCGGTAGATTATTCGATCTACTGTACTGATTATTATGTCCCGATATATCCGACATGTTTTGGTTGAGGATGTTTAAGTTTATCGTCGAGGTCTCTTGTATTACATTCGAGTTTGTTATGATGTTGTTTGTTGATGTTGTGTTTACTATGTTTAAGTTGTTTTGTTGACTGTACATATTGTTGCTTGATGTGTAGGAGTTGTAATTGCCGTTTTCTGTTATTAGAAAATTGTGTTTAATCCTTTTATATAAATATTCTAACAAAAATAAAATAAAGAAAATAAAATAAAAATTTTAAACCCTTATCATTCTAAAACTATTTGTAAGAAAAAATAATTGAAATTTTGCGTGTACTTAAAATAACCCGTTAATATACCGTTGGTGCGTCATTTTAACGAATGTATAACAGATGACAACTGTCAATGAACATAAAGCTAACTTCAGCCTGTGACCAAAAACCTGTAGCTAACTTCAGCCCGTGACTAAAACGCCATAGATACAGTTTGTCAACGTGAGTAAAACACAGGATACATTTAATAATTTATTAGGTAAATAATTAAAGGACTAGAACATTTACATTTTGGTTAAATTACAAATAAATTATTAAATCAGACTTATAAGGAAATAATGTTTGTACTACATTAAAAAACACCTATTTTTAAAATAGACGAATTTTCTCGAATTTAGTGATATTTAAAGCTCTATAGTCTATCTACAGATGTAAAAAGTGGTGTTGACAGTCGAAAAATGGCAACACACCAACATAAATAAATAAATAATACTATTTTTAGTTAGTTTTTATCATGTCCCATGATGGGGCTTCAAATTTCTCCCCGTGGGTTAACTTATGCGATATATAATAATGTTTCATAACGAATTGTTTCTGGCAAATCTCGCACGTAAAATTCGACTGTTTATCGTGCGTTTTTTTGTGTTTCAACAGATTATCGCGCCTGGAAAAACTCTTGTCGCATATGTTGCATTGGTAATTTTTTTGGCCCGAGTGCAACGTCATATGACGAAGCAAGTGCTCTTTCCTCATGAACGCTTTATTGCACATCTCGCACCTGTACGGCCTGAACCCGGTGTGCAACTTAACATGCTGATACAAATGCTCGCGACGCTTGAAAGATTTCTTGCATATGTCGCACGTGTGCGATTTTTCCATGTTGTTTGTGGTAGTAGTGTCGATTGTCACCGCTGGGGCGTCGGCCTCGACCATCTCCACCTTTGGCGCCGCTATTGTAACGTGCTGTATTATGTTCGGTAGATTATTCGATCTACTGTACTGATTATTATGTCCCGATATATCCGACATGTTTTGGTTGAGGATGTTTAAATTTATCGTCGAGGTCTCTTGTATTACGTTCGAGTTTGTTATGATGTTGTTTGTTGATGTTGTGTTTACGATGTTTAAGTTGTTTTGTTGACTGTACATTGATGTGTAGGAGTTGTAATTGCCGTTTTCTGTTATTAGAAAATTGTGTTTAATCCTTTTATATAAATATTCTAACAAAAATAAAATAAAAATTTTAAACCCTTATCATTCTTAAACTATTTGTCAGAAAAAATAATTGAAATTTTGTGTGTACTTAAAATAACCCGTTAATATACCGTTGGTGCGTCATTTTGACGAATGTATAACAGATGACAACTATCAATGAACATAAAACTAACTTCAGCCTGTGACCAAAAACCTGTAGCTAACTTCAGGCCGTGACTAAAACGCCATAGATACAGTTTGTCAACGTGAGTAAAACACAGGATACATTTAATAATTTATTAGTTAAATAATTAAAGGACTAGAACATTTACATTTTGGTTAAATTACAAATAAATTATTAAATCAGACTTATAAGGAAATAATGTTTGTACTACATTAAAAACACCTATTTTTAAAATAGACGAATTTTCTCGAATTTAGTGATATTTAAAGCTCTATAGTCTATCTACAGATGTAAAAAGTGGTGTCGACAGTCGAAAAATGGCAACACACCAACATAAATAAATAAATAATACTATATTTAGTTAGTTTTTATCATGTCCCATGATGGGGCTTCAAATTTCTCCCCGTGGGTTAACTTATGCGATATATAATAATGTTTCATAACGAATTGTTTCTGGCAAATCTCGCACGTAAAATTCGACTGTTTATCGTGCGTTTTTTTGTGTTTTAACAGATTATCGCGCCTGGAAAAACTCTTGTCGCATATGTTACATTGGTAATTTTTTTGGCCCGAGTGTAACGTCATATGACGAAGCAAGTGCTCTTTCCTCATGAACGCTTTATTACACATCTCGCACCTGTACGGCCTGAACCCGGTGTGCAACTTAACATGCTGATATAAGTGCTCGCGACGCTTGAAAGATTTCTTGCATATGTCGCACGTGTGCGATTTTTCCATGTTGTTTGTGGTAGTAGTGTCGATTGTCACCGCTGGGGCGTCAGCCTCGACCATCTCCACCTTTGGCGCCGCTATTGTAACGTGCTGTATTATGTTGGGTAGATTATTCGATCTACTGTACTGATTATTGTGTCCCGATATATCCGACATGTTTTGGTTGAGGATGTTTAGATTTATCGTCGAGGTCTCTTGTATTACGTTCGAGTTTGTTATGATGTTGTTTGTTGATGTTGTGTTTACGATGTTTAAGTTGTTTTGTTGACTGTACATATTGTTGCTTGATGTGTAGGAGTTGTAATTGCCGTTTTCTGTTATTAGAAAATTGTGTTTAATACTTTTATTATATAAATATTCCAACAAAAATAAAATAAAGAAAATAAAATAAAATTTTTAATCCCTTATCATTCTAAAACTATTTGTCAGAGAAAATAATTGAAATTTTGTGCGTACTTAAAATAACCCGTTAATATACCGTTGGTGCGTCATTTTAACGAATGTATAACAGATGACAACTATCCATGAACATAAAGCTAACTTCAGCCTGTGACCAAAAACCTGTAGCTAACTTCAGCCCGTGACTAAAACGCCATAGATACAGTTTGTCAACGTGAGTAAAACACAGGGTACATTTAATAATTTATTAGTTAAATAATTAAAGGACTAGAACATTTACATTTTGGTTAAATTACAAATAAATTATTAAATCAGACTTATAAGGAAATAATGTTTGTACTACATTTAAAAACACCTATTTTTAAAATAGACGAATTTTCTCGAATTTAGTGATATTTAAAGCTCTATAGTCTATCTACAGATGTAAAAAGTGGTGTCGACAGTCGAAAAATGGCAACACACCAACATAAATAAATAAATAATACTATATTTAGTTAGTTTTTATCATGTCCCATGATGGGGCTTCAAATTTCTCCCCGTGGGTTAACTTATGCGATATATAATAATGTTTCATAACGAATTGTTTCTGGCAAATCTCGCACGTAAAATTCGACTGTTTATCGTGCGTTTTTTTGTGTTTTAACAGATTATCGCGCCTGGAAAAACTCTTGTCGCATATGTTACATTGGTAATTTTTTTGGCCCGAGTGTAACGTCATATGACGAAGCAAGTGCTCTTTCCTCATGAACGCTTTATTACACATCTCGCACCTGTACGGCCTGAACCCGGTGTGCAACTTAACATGCTGATATAAGTGCTCGCGACGCTTGAAAGATTTCTTGCATATGTCGCACGTGTGCGATTTTTCCATGTTGTTTGTGGTAGTAGTGTCGATTGTCACCGCTGGGGCGTCCGCCTCGACCATCTCCACCTTTGGCGCCGCTATTGTAACGTGCTGTATTATGTTGGGTAGATTATTCGATCTACTGTACTGATTATTGTGTCCCGATATATCCGACATGTTTTGGTTGAGGATGTTTAAGTTTATCGTCGAGGTCTCTTGTATTACGTTCGAGTTTGTTATGATGTTGTTTGTTGATGTTGTGATGTTGTGATTACTATGTTGTTTTGTTGACTGTGATTACTATGTTGTTTTGTTGACTGTGATTACTATGTTGTTTTGTTGACTGTGATTACTATGTTGTTTTGTTGACTGTACATATTGTTGCTTGATGTGTAGGAGTTGTAATTGCCGTTTTCTGTTATTAGAAAATTGTGTTTAATCCTTTTATATAAATATTCTAACAAAAATAAAATAAAGAAAATAAAATAAAAATTTTAAACCCTTATCATTCTAAAACTATTTGTCAGAAAAAATAATTGAAATTTTGTGTGTACTTAAAATAACCCGTTAATATACCGTTGGTGCGTCATTTTGACGAATGTATAACAGATGACAACTGTCAATGAACATAAAACTAACTTCAGCCTGTGACCAAAAACCTGTAGCTAACTTCAGCCCGTGACTAAAACGCCATAGATACAGTTTGTCAACGTGAGTAAAACACAGGATACATTTAATAATTTATTAGTTAAATAATTAAAGGACTAGAACATTTACATTTTGGTTAAATTACAAATAAATTATTAAATCAGACTTATAAGGAAATAATGTTTGTACTACATTAAAAAACACCTATTTTTAAAATAGACGAATTTTCTCGAATTTAGTGATATTTAAAGCTCTATAGTCTATCTACAGATGTAAAAAGTGGTGTCGACAGTCGAAAAATGGCAACACACCAACATAAATAAATAAATAATACTATATTTAGTTAGTTTTTATCATGTCCCAAGATGGGGCTTCAAATTTCTCCCCGTGGGTTAACTTATGCGATATATAATAATGTTTCATAACGAATTGTTTCTGGCAAATCTCGCACGTAAAATTCGATTGTTTGTCGTGCGTTTTTTTGTGTTTCAACAGATTATCGCGCCTGGAAAAACTTTTATCGCATATGTTACATTGGTAATTTTTTTGGCCCGAGTGCAACGTCATATGACGAAGCAAGTGCTCTTTCCTCATGAACGCTTTATTACACATCTCGCACCTGTACGGCCTGAACCCGGTGTGCAACTTAACATGCTGATATAAATGCTCGCGACGCTTGAAAGATTTCTTGCATATGTCGCACGTGTGCGATTTTTCCATGTTGTTTGTGGTAGTAGTGTCGATTGTCACCGCTGGGGCGTCCGCCTCGACCATCTCCACCTTTGGCGCCGCTATTGTAACATGCTGTATTATGTTGGGTAGATTATTCGATCTACTGTACTGATTATTATGTCCCGATATATCCGACATGTTTTGGTTGAGGATGTTTAAATTTATCGTCGAGGTCTCTTGTATTACGTTCGAGTTTGTTATGATGTTGTTTGTTGATGTGTTTACGATGTTTAAGTTGTTTTGTTGACTGTACATATTGTTGCTTGATGTGTAGGAGTTGTAGTTGCCGTTTTCTGTTACGTTGTTATAAATCACGGTGTGGTTTTGGTTGTGTTTTTCCTCGACTTTCTCGTTGTAAATAAAACTTTTATTTTTATTCATTAGCTGTTGTTTTTCGTATGTTTCTTCTGTTAAGTCGATTTTAATGATGTTGTCCTCCAAACTTAATGGATCTTTTGTTACAATCGGTGATTCCTTTCGTCGATTTTTTTTATTCCTTATACTGTTAGGATTTATAACCTCAAAATCTGGATACAACTGGGCAATATTCAAAACTTCACCGTTTGAATTGACAACAACATTACTCAAAACTTCATTCCTATTACTCTTATTTATGGCGTTTAAATTAAGGGAACTGAAATTTTGATTTTGATTGGGGTTTTGTATGATTTTGGATTCCAATATTTCGACTTTGGGGTTTTTTGATGTTACATTTGGGTTTGTTACGATGGTTGGTAGTTGTAGGGTGTAAAACGGCACCGACGCCTCCACTGGGTTTTTTTCTTGAATTTGCTCCTGAAAATTTTGCTGTTTTTGCACTTGCTGGACATTTGTCGAAGTGGTCGTTACTTCAGATTGTGGGGGTGGTTTTGTGTCCTTGATGTACACCTTAAAAAAATACAGTGTAATTTTTTGGCATTATCTTTTTTCTTTAGTTAAAAAAGTTGAATTACGCGAAAAAACTAAAGTTCTTTTTTTTATCTGGACTGCGGCAACGTTGCAAATTTAGGGCTTTGGTTGGTAAATACGGAACCAAAATTGGTTGCATTGATTAAAACAAACTAAACTATAGTTATAAATGCAATTATACGCTGTGAAATGTTAAAGGCAAGTTAGTTACGTCATAATAATAATCCGTTTTTGTTCCCCGAGCGTTTTAAAATTGATGTCAAGCTAGATAGCTCATATGGTAGGGCGTTCGCATAGCATGCGAGAGGTACCGGGTTCGATACTCAGAAGTTGTCGAAGTTTTTTTATTTTTTATCTCATAAATTTCTGGTTTCTTTTTTAAAAAGTGTTGGGTTGGGTTGGTTGGTTTGCTTTAGTTTTATCGTAACATAAAATCTACTAGAAGTTGTCGAACTTTTTTTATTTTATATTTATAAATTTGTTTGTTTGTTAAAAAGTGTTAGTTGGTTGGTTGGTTTTAGTTTTGTAGTAACATAAAATCTTAAAAAAATGACGTACCTAATGTGCCTTTAACATTTCGAATCGCGGCACGTTAGCGTGCCTCTAGTCACAGCGGTAATTATAATGTAATTGTGGTTATGTTTAAATTATTCTAGGTTAAATGGAACGGTTGACAAAATTCGTAGTTTAAAATGCAATTAAATAATTAACATAGTTTTGGTGGTGCGTAGATGAGTAAAAAAGTAGTTAAATATAGGTGACTACGGCCCAGGAGAGACAAGGTATTCTTAGCGGATAATAATCTTCGATTTGAAAAGAATTTAGGTACCTACCTATATTAAAGAAATTAAAATGTTATGTAAACACACGTGAATGTTGTCCAATCATTGGACTTCAATGCTGAATGGGTATTTTGTTAAAGCTACTGAACATTAATACTTGTAGGAGGGATGTAAGCAAATTTGTATGACCTTTCCATGTCACGGTCATAATGAAAATGAAGGTCATGTCATTTATTTTTATGACACCCTTGTCATTAATTTTTTTTAATTTAAATTTGTGACTGTCAAAAAAATAACTGACCGTCATTAAAATATATGACAGTCACAAAAATATATGACGGTCACAAAAAGACGTTAGATCAATGCCGCTTCAAGCCGGTCTTACTCCAAATGCGAAAAAAAAGCGTAAAAGTGATGTATTTTAACTTGATTTAACTTGTAAACACTTAGAGCAAGTCCAATTTAATTGGTATTGGAAAAAGCATATTATTAAGTATGCATCAAAATTAACTAGGTATAAATTATTATTCTATTTACTATAATAATTAAGGAGATGGAAGATGTCATTAGATGACTTTGAAGTCAATGACCATAAATCTAACAAAAAAATTTAGTTATAACTGGTTAAAAACCAGTTAGATATCTTTATATTCTACTAGGATATGGTTTTGTTTTGTTAAAAGAGATTTTATTTAATTTTAAATTTTGTTAACATTTTGTTATTTTTTTCAATTAAATTTATGTTTAAGTTTATGTCTATTAATGTTTTAGTCACTTGTCACTTGTATGATGCTTCTATATCTACATTAAAGATAAGGAAATGAAAATTACCATAAATGACAATAAATGATATATAAATTACAATCCATTGTGATATAACATGTCAAGTGTCACATAAATAAATGACTGTCATTTTACATCCCTAACTTGTAGTGGCTTAATAATAATTATAATGTATATATTGTCCAGTACTATTAATGATAAGTAACTTGCAAATTGAAAGAAGAAAAAGTTTTGTAATTAAAGCTTATCTTTTTCAAACCAAATGGATGCTATTTTCAGAGGCAGGAAAATAATAAACAGAAAATAATTTTATTTTTTGTTTTCTTATTTCCCCCTTATTTTTTAAAATTTCAAAAAAATTTATCTGCTTTGCTAATTTTGCCAAAAACAAAAGTAGCAAGCTGCTGAGAGGTTATTAATCTATGGCTTTTTTTAATGTCTAAGGTTTTGTAAATACCAATTGTATCAAAACACGTTTACATTTATAAGTTATAGCAAATGTAAACATCACTAAAATGATGTAAGTGAAGTTCACTTTTGCAATAAGACTGGTTATTTGCCAACTCGGCCATAATTCTTTGACAAGTAACAAAAGGTAATGTAATAAATACCTTCCCGGACTTTTTAAAGTCCTCAGTCCACCGAAAATTTCTGAAATAGGTCGACAACATAGTTTCTGATCCGACACATTCTTGCTGAAATGTAAAGCAATTTTCCAAATTTTCCAGGCATTTCGAACACACCACTTTGGGTAAACAATCGTCTTCAAACACCTAAAATGCATGCCAAGTAAAATTATGCTTAATTATCAGATAGTTAACTTACTGTAAGCGATAAACAAGTTTCAATCTTATTTTGTAGCTGTATTTTCTTTCCCTCGTTGTCAAAAATATGCGTTTTGTCTTTCTGGTTGTTGCTAGCGCATAACCTACATAGTTCGTAGAAATTAACACGCTTATAACCCGACATTTAGCACGATTTTACACCAAAAACCATCTATAAGTTTAATAATTCAAGAATAATATTACTTCCAACGTCAACAGCATTTGACAGATGCTTTTGATCGACGCGACATCTACCGCCTATAATGTCAAGCTATTGCAATAGTTTTGCTTAAGAATGGTTTAAAATCACTAAATCGTATTTATGATGTATACTATAGTTAAGATCATAGAGAAACATGGTTTTTGTAAATATTTTTTTGTTTATTTGGTTGAAATACGGAATATTGGTCAAATTATGTAAAATTGCCTACTTTATGTTGGTATTGATTTTTTTGTTTCAGGGTTGGTAACTGTTCACTATCATGGCAGTCTTGACAGTTATTTGAAAAGTGAAATGTTTTGTTTACAAACATAAAGCTAAAAAACTTGTTTGAAAGTGTTTTTAACATAACTACACGGAAGCATATTCAATTATATCCTAGACAATTTCTTACTCAAAGATTGTATCCTTATTGTGCAATGCAAAACGTGCATTTAAATCCAAAAAAAAGCTTTTGTGAAAAAATGTGGAAATAAAAATTCCATTGGAAATAGGATAAATGACTGAGGTGAGTGCAATATAGTATATAATTTTTTCTACTCACACCTTTAAAACGCCCTTTATCGTACATGTTTCCATGACACTAAGTGACCTTTTAAATACACATTGACAAGTTGTGGCTTTACGGCGCTTTAGTCACGGGCTGAAGTTAGCAACAGGTTTTTAGTCACGGGCTGAAGTTAGTTTTAAGTTAGTTGACAGTTGTCAAATATCATACAATCGTTAAAATAAAGTGCCTTTCTTGTAAAATAATACTAAATGTGAAAATTATTTTATTATCTCAATGCAAAAATACAAAAGTATTAAATAGTTTCTCAACGCCAATATTTGAAAAGTTTATATGAACATTGTACTGACTTTTTAATTTCGCCGGCAGTAAACTATAACTTAAATTCGGGCACGGACTCTACTGTAAAGTCCTCATAAAACATTTTCTTTACTTTCACTGTGAAAAACTGTCAATTTTCAAGATACATTTCGATTTATAACCTTTATAATTGTGTTTATAAAATGTAAAAATGTGACATTTGACAGTTTCCCCTGTTGTTTCATATATGGCGCACTATACAAATTTTTGATTTAAATCATTTTAAGATAATAATAAGTATTTGTCGTAGAAAAAGTATAGTATGCACCTCGTTTATAAACTTTTCTATACACTCATTAACTTAAATTAAATTCGTGTATAAAATGGCGTTTATCAAATTTGATACATAATATACTATTTTTAATTAACTAATGTCACTACGAAAAAAAAAATCAACAGATATCACTAGTCTTTTAAATGTGTTTATATAAAACTTCATGTCCCATAGATGTCTTTATTTGCAAAAATATAAATAAAACTAACATATTTACAATAAATTAATATAAAACCTACGAACTACCCATAAAATATTTAATATCATGGCATTTATAATAAAGGTAGAGCAGTTTTCATAGGTTAAACATTATTTAGAAAATAAAATTTACTATGAACATTGTTAGTTTATAGAATAAATAGAATAAAACAGTACATAGAGCATAATGAGCAACTTTAAGTTTGTAATATTTAATTTGTCCCTTTGATACTGTATCCAATGGATCTTTTAATAAATATACTCTTGCACCTCTGACATATGTGTAAAAATAGGCATCCCATGATAAATCTTTCATGCTGAATTCGAACAACTTTCGATCGCTTGTATTCATTTTCTTCCAAAGATTTTGTATGTTGTTGTTCTTGAAATTCCACTCTCTCATCGTGAAGTATGAGATAACGTTTGAAAATTTGTTGATTTTTTGATACCCTTTTACCAACCTAGAAAAAAAATTAGATGTAAAAGTAGATGTAAATGTCTAAAAAATGTGGTGCATATCCAGCAAAAAAGGAATCCAATGCTGAAAACCGTCTATTAATCCGCCTGCGAGGCGGCAACTACGAATACACCGTCGTGTAGAAATTGCCATCAGTCATTATCGTTTATTATTGCAAAACTATGTTAATTAATTAAAAATATATATAGGAATTTGAATGTTTTCATTTCGAAAAAAAAACGGTTTTTTTAAAATATCTCAAAAACAAAGAATAATTGATCAAAATGATGGTAATTTTTTGAATCAGCGTGGCAAATTTTGTCGACCAGTGTAATAGGACGAGGTGCAAATGAGAATAGACCGTGTTTACGTATATACAGTGTGACCCTTTGTTTGCCACTCACCCCTGTAAAAATTTAATTTATTGTGCGATTTTAACCGGATTTGTTTTAAAGTTTAGATCTTGCAAACTGTATTTTTGGAGCAACAAAACATATTTTTACAAAATTCATGGCCTACTATGTCAGTTTTTGAGAGTAAATTTTTAAGAATTCATATTAACGATTAAAAAAATCTATGCACGGCACTGGATTCACCACCCGACAAAAAGGCCGTATACTACATTTTTTTTTTAAATTTTAATTAGTAATTTGGTATACCTAAATATTCTTATACTTAGTTTTGAAAAATAAACACGCAATATAAACTTTAAAAAAAATGTATGCACTTCACTGGATTCACCACCCCACAAAACGACCCTATACTAAATTTTATTGAAAAATTTTATAGTAACATGGTATAAATATTCTTATGCTTAGTTTTGACAAATAAAAAACGCAATATAAACTAAAAAAAAATCTATGCACGGCACTGGAGTCACCACCCCTCAAAAGGACCCTATACTAAATTTTATTGAAAAATTTATAGTAACATGGTATTCTTATGCTTAGTTTTGAAAACTAAAAAACGCAATATAAACTTTATAAAATCTATGCACGGCACTGGATTCACCACACCTCAAAACGACCCTATACACAGAGAAAAGTAATCTCTTGATTTTACTATATCTGTCTTGACTCAAATAAATTATTTATTTCGATATGATACAAGAAGATATTTATTTAGTGGAAAACTTGGGTTTATTTGACTTTTTAAACTGATGGTTTGTTTAATACAAGTAAATATTTAGTTGACTTTTTATCTTACTTAAAGAAACAAAACATTTACTTGTATCAATTCTATTATTTTGTTAAAATAATATATTATATGCTTGTATTAACATTTGATTAAACTAAATCCCTACAAAATATATCCAAACAATTTAATTAATTGCTCTAAATAAATATTTCTTTACAATTAATCACAACAATAAGTTGTTTTCAAGAAACTCATGATTTACAACCAAATAATAGTATTTTCTTATTGTAAACAAGAAGTTACTACGAATAAGACAATTTTACTTCATACAAGAAAAACTGTTTCAAATAAATGCATTTTCTTAAATCAAGAGATTACTTTTCTCTGTGTACCAAATTCTATTAAAAAATTGTATTATACTATAATATAATATTTTTATGCTTAATATAAAAATTCTTATGCTTAGTTAAGAAAAATAAAAAACGCAATATAAACTTTAAAAAAAGTCTATGCACGGCACTGGATTCACCACCCCTCAAAACGAATTTATACTAAATTTTATTAAAAAATTGTATAGTAACATGGTATAAATATTCTTATGCTTAGTTTTGAAAACTAAAAAAGGCAACATAAACTTTTAAAAAATCTATGCACGGCACTGGATTCACCACCCCTCAAAACGACCCTATACTAAATTTTATTTAAAAAATTTTATAGTAACATGGTATAAATATTTTTATGCTTAGTTTTGTAAAATAAAAAAAGCAATATAAAGTTAAAAAAAAATTATGCACGGCACTGGATTCACCACCCCTCAAAACTACCCTATACTAAATTTTATTGAAAAATTTTATAGTAACATGGTATAAATATTCTTATGCCTAGTTAAGAAAAATAAAAAACCCAATATAAACTTTAAAAAAATCTATGCACGGCACTGGATTCACCACCCCTCAAAACGGCCCTATACTAAATTTTATTGAAAAATTTTATAATAACATGGTATAAATGGGCGATTGCACGCGTTACTGATGGGACAATCGGAAAAAAATTTAACTATTTTTTGATATTTCTTGCTATCAGTAATGGGCTAATGACGGTAATTTTTGGGTAACTATTAAAGCTATAGTTTGTGTAAAATTTTCAGTATCAGAGCTATTAAAATGTTTTTTATTTTACGAACTAGAAATCAATAAAATGTTGTTACTGATGGGACAAGAAAAAGGTCATAAAAATTTCTGGTTACTAGAAGAGAATAATTCTCTGAAACAGAATAATGTTGAAGAAAAGTATAAATGAACCAAGTTGCAGATGCAGTTAGTACTTATTTTGACATCACTCATCTTTCAGTGTAATCTATATAGGCAATGCATTTTGATTTCTCGTTACTGACGGGACATTACTGATGGGACATTTAATATTATTATTTATTATACACTGAAACAAATGTGTAATTGGTTAATTTAACTAAATAACTTCAAAAATAATTTTAACATGATAATAACAACCGCAAAAAATTTAAAAGCATTTGAACAAATTTGATTTTTCGGATTCACTATAGTGCTTCTTAATCAACATATGAGTACCATCAACAAACTTAAAATAGTGTGAACTTAATATATCAGGTATTCAAATTTTTTGTTTTTTTTTGTTTGCTGCTTTTATTTTCTCTAAACTTTCTTTTCCTTTCTCTTTCATTAATTTTTTGCTGCATTTTAAACCCACCATCATTTTCCGCCAACTTTTTTAATTTTTCTCTGTACTTTTTTGCGCTTGAAGCATTTTTAGACAGGTAAGTCTTTTTTAAAACAGGATTTTCATAAATTTTTTTGCGATATTTTTTAACCCGCCGCTTCGTATTTTCTTTGTCAAGCACGTTTTTTTTTGCCATCCTAAAAATTATCACATTTCGTTACTGACGGGACCAACTTTAAAAAAAAGAAATACAAAAATCTGGGACAGCAAACCAATATATTTTTATCGCGTAAGCAAATGTGAAATAGGGACAAACATTTTTAATATTAATTAAAAACTGGGCAAGTTGCATACTTGCGATATTAAAACTTATCATATAATTTCGTTACTGATGGGACATATATACAATAATATTATAAATTTAAATTTCTAGAACAGTTTACTTACTTGCAAAAAAAATATTCAGTAATATGTTCACTAATAGTGGCGTCTAATCAAAACGGACGTTTTCGGAAGCGTCACTTACTGGTATAGGTCAAAGCCACCTTGATTAAAATGCTACTTTGCATATCAATTTTAACATCGGAAAATTGCTTATTTTTGACCATATTTTTTTTAAATAATAAGTACCTGAGATAAACATTTTTAGTTTTTTCAACTAATTTCACCATTAATGATTAACTTTAGTATATTTTTGTTTCATTGTGCCCTGCTTAAAACTGATGGAAAAAATTACATTGCGCGTGCAATCGCCCAAATATTCTTATGCTTAGTTTTGAAAAATAAAAAACGCAAAATAAAATTTTAAAAAATTTTTATACACGGCACTGGATTTACCACCCCTCAAAACGACCCTATACTAAATTGTATTGAAAAATTTTATAGTAACGTGGTATAAATATTCTTTTGCTTATTTAAAAAAATAAAAAACGCAATATAAACTTTTAAAAAATCTATGCACGGCACTGGATTCACCACCCCTCAAAACGACCCTATACTAAATTTTATTGAAAAATTTTATAGTAACATGGTATAAATATTCTTATGCTTATAAGCATAAGAATATTTATAACTATAGTTTTGAAAAATAAAAAACGCAAAATAAACTTTTAAAAATTTTTTATACACGGCACTGGATTCACCACCCCTCAAAACGGCCCTATATTAAATTTTATTGAAAAATTTTATGGTAATATGGTATAAATTCCTATACTTTGTTTTGAAAACTAAAAAACGCAATATAAACTTAAAAAAAAAATCTATGCACGGCACTGGATTCACCACCCCTCAAAACGACCCTAAACTAAATATTATTAAAAAATTTTAATTAGGAACGATTTTGTAGCCAAATTAAAAATGCACAATAATTAATATTTACACAAATTTATTTTATCAAGTTAGCCATGAAAAAACTTTGAAATGAAATTTACCTAGTAACAAAATATCGTTTTTCGATTTGGATGAAAATATAGAAACTTATAGTTTTTAAGGCGTAGAAAACGAAAATCGACATAGTTTATCCATAAAAAAATCCCCCCTCCAACTCCAATTTTAAAAGAATTTTTAAGAAGTACCTTTTTAATTTATTTTATTAGGTTATTTTTTATCGTTAATACCTACGATCGGCATACTGCATCTTTAACAGGTCACGAGCCGCCACTGTTCTTAAGTATATTGAATATTTATTAAAATACTTACTGTGGCTTTTTTCCAATGCAAATAGCGATAAAGTCCACGATATGGGCCGGTAATGTGTGCAAGAAAAATAGGGCCAATGTATGCCAAAATAAACTTGGCCTCATTTTGAAGAAATAATTCCAAATGCAAACTTCCGAAGGTATTTGTATGGCGTGTTTGTAATTTAGTTCTTCGAATTTTTCTATAAAAACAAATATTTCAGTTGTGAACTTTTTCTGTTTTATAAGTAATATTTGATTTACCCCAGGTTATAGGTCTTTCCGGTGTGCAAACGAAATTATATATAGGGATTTCTTCCTGGAATTTTTCATCTACGTCATTTTTATCCTGAGTTTCCTTGTTGTCATTTAAAGTCCTGAAAAAAATGTTTTAACATATTGCTTTAGATTAAAACCGACTTACTTCATTGTTGCTACATCCCATGCCGCTGCTAAGACGCTGTTTACCACGTAATCTGCCGGTACCAATTCAGCACAGTTTTCTTTTTTACCATGCAATGTTCTTATAAGTCCTAGAGCGGCCCCGTAAAAGACCCCTGTGGCACCATAGAAATTGTCTATCCATCCAGCGACAGGCTCTTTTGCTGAACCGATGACTAAAAAATATATGTATTGTTAGTATTTTTAACGTTTTTGGTTGCATATCCTTGCGACTGCGCCATTAAGATGACTATATAGTAATACCTTACTATATAACTTTACTCGAATTTTATACAGAAAATAAAAATGTAAAAATATATGGGGTGGTTTATTTGAAATAACTAAGTAGATGTCACTTCCGGTTAAACCGGAAGTGGCATTTTCTTAAAATATTTTAGAAATAACCTAAATGGATTATAAATGATTTTAAAATTTCAAATCGATATCTTTTTTCGTTCCACAGAAACTTCTAATGGACCACAAATGTGAAACACCCTGTATATATATATTGTGGCCCATTTAAGATGGAAACACCCCCGTAACTCTTTGTTACTCGATTTTAATGAACAAAAGCTCAAAAGATAGAGAATAAAAAACTATCTAAGCTATAAAAAAATATTTTCAATGTCACTTGACAGATGCCTACTATAACATTTTTTTCTATGTCCAAATTATGAAAAAATTATTAGGGTGTTTAAAAAAAAATAACGCCACTGAATGCGGTATGTTTCAAAATGAGTACAAACCAAATTTCATTAAAAACGAACAATTTTATCTTAAACAAGTCACAACACAACGTCCACTAACATTGAACCTTAGGTTTTAACGGAAAAGTCATTATAAACCAGCGTCCAAATATTGGTCGCCAAAGTAGTATGCATCCATGTATATATGTATACATATACTCTCTGAATTAGTCAAAAATGACTAGTTATTAGTGGCTGCTTTTTTCACTTGTACCAGGGTTAACCATGGTATACCATGGTATCCCAAAATTTAACAGTCAATTCTTATGTGAAGTTGTCCCCTAAATCCGAAAATGTGGTCAAAAGTTAAAAAAGTGTAACAGTTTTTGAGATATAGTCAATTTTCCATTTAATATGGAATTGACTATATCTCAAAAACTGCTTCACTTTAATAATTTTTGACGACATTTTCGGATTCAGGAGACAATTTTACATAAGAATTGGCTGATTTTGGGATACCATGGTATTCCATGGTTAACCATGGTACAAGTTAAAAAGCAGCCGCTAATAACTATAGTTATAACTATATATAGCTATTAAATTAGTCATTTTTGACTAATTAATTTTTAGAGAGTATATATATATCGTGTGTGTGTAGTTTATTTTTTAATTATGGACCGATCTATATTTTTTGTAATCGTGCTGATATTTTTAAAATATGATTTTTATGCAATATAAAAAATACCGACTAGCATGCTGGATATAACTTTCTTAATAAAACGAAACGCATTAACTTAAGAATGTCGACTTAAGCTGAATGTAATTATCTTAATAATGTCGATATTAAATATCGTATAATTTTACATTACTTAGGTAAATTGTTTACTTTACTTACTTATAGAAGGTCTTAAAATTCCCACTGGTAAATTTTTTCCCTCCTCTTTGACAACGTTTTCAGCTACTGATTTTGTAAAAACATACGTATTAGGAAACTCTCCTATTAACCTAAAACAATACATGTTTGTTGGTTTGTTTTTGAAAATATAATACGCTCCTGTATAAAAAAGTTTTTGTTAATTTTTAAAAACAATTTTTTTGTCAACTTACGTTGGTGTAATGAGGTCCAATTTTTCATCGTCCAAACAGTCAACTAGGGTCAGTAGTTTTTCACCAGTTATTGGAGGTTCGTAGAATATTTCATCTATATCTTTTCTAATACAGTTTGAAAAAGCTGTTGAGACATACAACAACGCCTAAAAATATTAAAATTGACCTTCTACATTCCAATACTTTTCAATCTTAAAATGTACTCTCTAAAAATGAAATGGTCGTTTTAACTTTTAAATAGTTATTTTTTACTACGTAAATAGTAATTTAAGATTAGTCACCATCTTTGACTATATAATATAATTCTGAGAGTTAAAAGTAACTAATTTCTTTAATCGTTTGCGGCCAACAACAAAGTATTATTTGAATTAAATGCATATACCTAAGCTCCATGGTTAAATGACCCATAAAAACAAATAAAGATGCAAAAAGTTTAGCTCAAAACAGCAACACAAATAATATATTACATATTAAATATGGGTCATTTTCAAGAAACACCCGCTTTCAGGAAAATGAAGATTAAATTTTTTTTTTGCTTAAATTGACTTTTGGTTGGATTTTTATAAATGTTTAGAGTTTTGTTTACTTACATTTAAGACAGGCAGTGCACTTTTTAATTTTTTTTTAGGTTTTTTTTCAGAAAAATGTGTTTAGCTAGCTTTATATATCTCCATTACCAATTTGAAATCCAAAATTTAATTCAATAAAAAAAGTTGTTATAAAAATAATTTGAAATAAAATGTACTTAGTTCACAAACTTTTGACTCCAATTTTTTATTTTATTTTTTATTAAAAATTGTATGCTTTTTTTAAATATGTATGTTCGTTAAGTTACTTTTTAAAAGAAACCATTCCGATTCTTTGTTAAAATAACAATACCATTAATATTAATGTAATGTAATGCATAAACAAAATCCCTTGTAGTGGTGCTCACTTGCAGAATAACAACTTAGATTTCTAAATTGCAGACACCCTTTTTCTTTGACTATAAGCTGGTGAAGGTCCCTTTTAGTACTTGTATATTGTGTGAAATTTTCCCTTGGATGTAATCTATATCATGAGTTGTAAATTACAATTACAACTTGTAATCACAAATAATTTTAAATTGGTTTATCATAAACTACTTTTAATAAAAGCGACGGTAAATATCCACTTTGTTGTCGAAAAATTCTATTGCGTTACCCTAAATTCCATTGCGTTACCATAAGGTAACATAATGAACTCGGTAACGCAGTGGAAAAAGTTTTGTGAAACCATATTTAAAAATAATAATAAGACATTACAGTCATTAATTACTCTCAATAAGCTTTAGTGCCCTAAAATAAACATAAACATGAAAAATAGCATTTTTTTTTACCTTATTTTTATTATTTTTTTAAGTAACTTAGCGGACAAACAATTATTACATTCGCGTTACCCGCACCTGTTTTAACCGATATCATCTTCCTGATTGAATAAATAAATTTAGCTGGGTAATGTGTACGTTCGAACATCATTTGTTGATCACGTGAGTGTCAAAAAAGTTGCCATATATATGTTTTTTTTAATATTCTATCGGTAACGCGACGGACGTAACACAACAGAAAAAATGTCTGGGACATAAGTCAAATTTAAAAAAGTAGAATAAAATTAATTATTTTATATATAAATTGTTTAATGTATTAACTAAGGATGTTATGGATTGCTATAAAGCAACACAAAGTTCTGGATATTCAATATTAAAAAAAAAACATGTACCTATGTAAGTTTTATAAAACGCTAATGGAACATGCGAAAATGTGTGTTTCACAAGTTTCAAAATTAAAAAAAATTATTCTGAAATAACTAAACAAACATTTTCTGAAAGAGTTTACTAAGGGCTTGTTAGGCTTTCGCTTGGTTGTTAAATCAATAAGATCCGATAATTTTTAACAAAGTTATTGGAATTCAAACTTACGGACAGCGGAAGGCGGGTGTTTTTTAAAAACGACCCGTAAACATATTAAACTATTATGAACAATATTTATTGACAAATAAAATAAATTTTATAAGAGCGGCTGATAGCCAAATGGGTTATGACAACAGCTTGACAAGTGACAGACCTGAGTTCAATCCCCGGCTGGGTCCAAACTTTTTTTAAATTTAAATCTACTAATTTGACTATTCCATTCAGTATAGAATTTGACTAATTATTAGTGACTGCTTTTTCGCTATGAAAATTAGTCAAATATGACTTATAATTAGTTATTTTTGACTAATTCATTTTAAGTGAATAATAACGATGTTTTCCTATTGTTTTCCTATTTTGTACTCCACATTTATATTTAATATGTTTAATACAAAATTCGGTGATGAAATTATTTCTAACTAAACTATTTTTATTAATAATTCCCACGATAGTTATTTATTTATTTCGTGTTTCCAAATATCCTGATATATGCAACATTGCTGAAATTATTGCGTGTTTTACAAAAATATCAAATTTCGCGTCAGTTAGTGTTTTTTATGAATACTTATAAAATAAACAAATTCCATTAAATAAAAAAAATAAAAAAATCATTCGACATTTGTTAAACAAATTTTGTTTGCTCACCTTCAATTGTTTCATTTGTTTGGCGATCACGAACAAATCTCTGATGGATCGCACGTTGATGTGCGCGGCTTGCTTGATTTTTTCATCGAATCTGACAGTGGCTGCGCAATGTATGATGGTGTTCACGTTGGCGCATAATTTTTCCGTGTCCTCCGCGCATATTCCCAGGTTGGGCAGGCCGCAGTCGCCCAAAATCATCTCCACTTTGCCTGCGTAGTCGGAGCGTTTGCGTTTTAGGGGGTCAAAAAGCTAAAAAAAGAGGGAGTTACAGATAAAGCGTTAACAAGTTTGCGTACAGTGCCCATAAAACATTCTCTTCTATTTTAGTGCTTCTATATCGATTGTTAGTCCATTTTCAAGGGATACATTTTGATTTACACAGACAAATTTGAGATTTTAACGCAGGTAGATTCCTAATTTAGAAGTTCTAACAGGAATTCCAATAAATTCAACTGTCACTTTTTGTACCTATTATACAGTGTGTCGCACTTAAGATGAAGACACCCCCATATTTTCGCTATTTGAAGGAATAAAGGTTTGAATTTTTTCACATTCATACATGTTGATGGGTCACATTTTTTAAGCTACTCAACTGAAATCTGAACTTTAAACTTGGCCTACTACAAATTCACAAACAGGGCCAGTTCTCGATATTTTGCTTCGCGTTAGAGATATCGAAAAAAGTTATTGGAAAAAGTTGTTCAGAATATTACTCTACCCCCATATACAAATTTTTATAACAAAATTCGCATTTTTAATTTTTTTTTATTTTGGTCCACACAAAATTATTACAAGTTCAGTGTTTAGACCGTTAAATAAATAATTAAAACAATTTTTGGAAATTACAAATCAATTATAATTTATTAAATTAAGGAAATGGTATAAAACAGTAATAAAACTAATAAAAATAAATAAATTAGAAATGCAAATTTTGCTATGAAAATCGGTATACGGGGTTAGAATAATATTCTGAACAACTTTTTCTAATAATTTTTTTCGATATTTCTAACGCGAAGCAAAATATCGACAACTGGCCCCGTTTGTGAATTCGTAGTAGGCCAAGTTTAAAGTTCAGATTTCAGTTGAGTATCTTAAAAAATGTGAACCACCAACATGTATGAATGTGAAAAAATTCAAATCTCTATTCCTTGAAATAGGGAAAATATGGTGGTGTCTTCATTTTAAATGCGACACACTGTATATAACATTTCCCGTGTATACTATAGTATTTTTAATACTTTGTGATAATATTTTGTAATAAAAAAAATCAAAGGGTAAAATATTTTCTTAACATAAGTTATTTTAATATTTTAAATTATCAATAATTGTTTAATTAAAATAATAATTAATGCTCATTATAAATTAACATACTATTCTTCTATCTACTATAGCAGTGATATTAAATACTTAGACGGTAAATGTGGGAGAGACTCAGCGAACCCTATCTATCAACAATGGTTTTTTAGTCTCTCCCACCTTTAATGTTAAGATTCCCGTTCCCGTTCCCGTTATCGGGCTATTGTGCAGCGGGCTTTAAATTTTGAACAAAGTTTTTGGTCAAAAACAATACTGTAATGATGCCCCAGCCACCATATTCGCCAGACTCTGTCTGACTTTTTCCTATTCCCAAAAATAAAGAGAACCTTAAAGGGCCGTCGTTTTGCAAGCATAGATGACATTAAAAGCGCATCGCTGAAAGAACTAAAGGCTATTTAAGGATCGAGTTTTAGAAGTGTTTCGAGTATTGGAAGAAGAGCTGACACATGTGCATAATATCCAATGGGGACTATTTTGAAGGCGACAACATTAATGTAGACGAATAATTAAATATTTGTTTCAAAAAACAAAAATTCCCGATATTTTCTGAACACACCTCGTATAATAATAAACTTTAAAATTACTACAGCAGTGCGAACCTTAGGAATCTTCTGTAAATTGTCAAATTGCGTTTCTTCGTACATAAAATTACGTAAAAGCCACTTACTGGGGACTCAAAAATTTCTTCGAATCTCTGTTTGGTGTCCTTCCCTTTCTTCGGTCGTATTAAAATGTAAATTTTTATGTCGTCGACGGCTCTCAACAATTTTTCCAGCATCATTTTTCCCACGAAACCCGTAGCTCCGGTCAAAAACACCGCCGAGCCCTCGTAGAAATTCTTCATCTCGCTGGGTTCTTCATCCGGAAGAAGCATATCGGATGCTGTGATGTCACCTCCTTCCCTGTCTTCCGCCATTTCGAAGAAAATTTATCTAAAAAATGTTTTTTTTAGTTTTTTGATTTGTTTTCTTTGTTGTTAACAAATTTTTAATATAAATTTGTTCTAGGTATTATAAAGTCCAATAAAAACTTAATTTTTCTTCTAAATTTAGATTTTTGTTCAAAGGCATCAAAAATATTAATACACTCACAGGCAAAATAATCGATCCACACAAATTTTCGATGAATTTCAATCACAAATAACTTTTTTATTTGATTTCGTATTTAAACAAATATTAAAGAATATTGTAGGTACATTAATGGAGAATCGCTCACATTTTAAAAATTACTAAAAAATACACGTACGTTTATAATATACAGGTTTAAACAAAAATATGTTTTTCACCATAAGTGTAAGACTCTCTGTAGAGTGGCAAAACCGTATATTGTTCAAAATTAAGCTTTAATTATCAAGTCACATCTATTTTTAACAGTTTTGTTTTTGATTCACCTTGATATATATATATATATATTTTTGTGGAAAATAAAGATTTTTTTAAAAAAACATTGCAATTTCCAATATTTTTCCTGTATGAAGAACTAAGGTTGCTATAGTCCATCCATAGCCTATGGAGGATGACAGTGACAGTTTTATTTGAATCATCCCATACTTGGACATGTCATATACAGTTTTCAAAAGCTATCAAATTGTTTTTTGTAAATTAATGTGATAATTTTGAGGTGTCTTCTTACTTTTAAAAATGTCTCTGACTTATGTTGCCCTTTGTACTTTACTTCAATGACGTTTAAAACACTTGCCATGTAATACTGTGACCGTCCATCCTGGATTAAATTAATGGCTCTGGCAACATCAGTCGGAGACATGTCCATTTTTTTAAGTATGAAGACACCTCAAAATTTAAACATTAATTTGCAAAAAATAATTTGATAGCTTTTGAAAGCCGTGTATGACATGTCCAAGTATGGGATGATTCAACAAAACTGTCACTGTCATTCTCCATAGCCCATGGATGGACCATAGCAACCTTAGTTCTTCATACAGAAAAATATTCGAAATTGCAATGTTTTTTTAAAAAATCCATATTTTCCACAAAAATAAATATATCGAGGTGAACCAAAAACAAAACTGTTAAGAATAGATGTGACTTGATAAATAAAACTTAATTTAGAACAATATACGGTTTTTCCACTCTACAAAGTGTCTTAAACTTATGGTAAAAAACATCTTTTTGTTAAACTTGTATATTATAAACGTACATCTATTTTTTAGTAATTTTTTAAAATGTGAGCGATTGAAAATTAATTTATCTACAATATTCTTTAATATTCGTTTAAATCCGACATCAAATAAAAAAGTTATTTGCGATTGAAATTCGTTGAAAATTTGTGTGGATCGATTATTTTGCCTGTGAGTGTATTAACTTATTTTAATAATTTAGGAGTAAACCCCAAATATTTTTTACAGTTTGGCATTTCTCTAAAAGAATTTATAAATTAACAACAACAAAAATTAATAAATTATTTAATTAATTAAAACATTTTTCATGCAAAATGTTTCACGTTGTTAATATTTATGTTTAAAAAAATTGGCATAAATACTATAACCACTTGTAATAAGTATGAAATATTCTGCATTCTAGCAAACTTTCCATTTAATTCGGTTCTAATTGGGAGATATGAAAAACAGGTTTATATAAAAAATCGTATCTGAACATTATGGAATTTAAGAAATATCTGCAAATTGCTTTTACATTACTATTAATAGAATAGCTGGGACTAATCCTTCTTTTGGCGTTTTTATGAACGGTAAATATACTTTTTTTTCACTCATCAATATAATAAAAATATGGATTTTGATTATCGGCTCAAAATGCTTATTTTTGACTGAAATTAATTTTGCGATGATTTTTGTAAATTTATGGATTTTAATAAAAAATAATAAAAATTATGGATTTTGATCATAGGGGCTCAAAATGTTTATTTACCGAATATCGCGATGATTTTTGTAAATTTATGGATTTTGATCAGAAATAATAAGAATTATGGATTTTAATCATAGGCCCAAAATTATTATTTTTGCATGAAACGAATTTTGCGAAAATGTTTGTAAATTAATGGATTTTGATAATAGATAATAACAATTATGGATTATAGGCTCAAAATGCATATTTTTCTAAAATCTTTAAAATTTTGATCATAGGCTCAAAATGGTTATTTTTGCCTGAAACGAATTTTGCGATTATTTTTTTAAATTTATGGATTTTGATCAGAAATAATAAAAATTATTATTTTTGATCAAAATGCTTATTTTTTCCTGAACCGATAAATTTAGCATTGATTTTCAAAAAATGGCTTAATATATAAATATTTTTATATGTCAATTTATTTGACAAAAATTGGCACCAAACATACAAAATAATTATTTTCTTACTTGATGAGTAAATAAGTAATAGGCACTTATTTTTTTACATAATTTCTTTAAAAGGCAAATCTGGTAATGTCAGTGACATTGACATAATAAAACATGAGATGGTTTTCTTGTTTATACAATAGAAAGCTATAAAAATGTAATCTATTGTTGAGTTTCTTTAATTTTAGGGTTTCTGTTGTCAAATATTATACATAAACATTGCAAAATGATTTTAATTCAAAGAAAATTAATTTATAATTAATTCAATGGGTAAAAAATCGCATGGTTTTAATTTATTTTTTATTAATTATTTTTGTATACCAAATACATACTGGGCTAAAACGATTTTTTTAATGATTTTTAAAAATTTATGGATTTTGATCAAAAACTATAAAAAATAAGGATTATGATCACAAGTTCAAAATGCTTATTTTTTGCCTTAAACGAATTTTGCGATGATTTTTAATAATTTATGGATCTTGATCAAAAGCCATAAAAATATGGATTTTGATCATAGGCTCAATTGCTTATTTTTTTTTAAATGGACTTTGCAATGATTTTTTAAAAATAAATTCTCCATTGTGCATATCGGCTTTCGTTAATTAATATTTGCTTATTAATTTTTTACCGATTTCATTACAACAATAGATCGTTTTACGTAGGAAATTTATTATTATTTATTCATTACCTTAGGTTTATTTACATACCAAAAATTTTTGTAATTTTATAAACTAAACAAAAAATGTAAAATACCTAAATAGATTTTTTATGTATGTAGTACACTTACCTGAGTTTCTTTGTTGGAAAAACACTTAAAACTTGTTTGATTCACCACTATAAAATTCGCAAACGTTTCTATAAAATTTGTTCACTTTTCCTTTTTTACAAATAAACTAAAATTTTTGCAAGATCGTCTAAACTTAAATTTTCGCTATTTTATCTAGCTACCTCGGTTTAATTAGCTAAACCGACTGTTTCGCTAGAGGACTCGATTTGATATGGGATATTTAAGTAACTATATTGGCTTGGGTGAAGCAAATAGTGTGTAAGTAAGGTTAATACGAATTGAATTTTAACCCCACTACGAAAATTCATGCTTAAGCGTATGATATGTAGTTTGTGTGTTAATTTGAATTTCATTAATTATTTTGTGGAAATTTCAAATGGTTTTTCCAACAAGAGGTCAAGTACATTTTTATGTTTATTTTTATGTAATTGGTGGTTTAAAAATGATTTTAACGATAATTTATTCACAAGTATGGATTTTGATCATGTGCTTAAAATGCGCATTTTTGCCTGATTTTTTTTTAATTAGAAATATATGGATTTTGATCAGAAATAATAAAAATTAAGGATTTTAATTAGTCTCAAAAATCCTTTTTGTTTGAAAATTTTTATAATTTCTATAGAAACTCATGAATATTAATCAGCAAAATTGATTTTATTTAAATATTTTAATTTGAAACAAATATTATTGCTGATTTTTTTGTTTAATACTGACGTGTTAATAATTATATTTTGGGCAAAATTTTAGGTCATTGATCTTCAAAATTATTTTAAATATCCGTTTTAATTTTTTTTAATTCGCATATAATCAAATGTCAAAAGATATAATAACTTAACTTTCGTACTGAGGATTTTACTAAATGTATGTGTTATTATTATTATACCCATTGCATGCAATGTCCTTTTTGAAGGTCTCAAACTACAATAAACCTTGGCAATGCAAGATCACTTTAAGCAGTTGCAAGAATTTATAAGGTACAGTGTGTTTCATATCACAAAAACTTGACATTAAAAAATTATATAAAATCGCGCAATAAATAAAGATTTTACAGGGGTGATTTGCAAACAAATGGTTCACACTGTACATATGTATACTTCTTATAAAATATTTAGCTTTATCTATGAGCTTGGTCTATTTAAGATATTGCAGTGATGTTTCACTTAAAATTAGAGCTTCCTGTAATAATATTCAGCTCTTAGGTATCCTAAAAAGTTATCCTAGCATGTTTAGTTTCTTTTAGAGCACTTAGTAGCTTTTGTCTACAAAAATTAAAGAAATAATGTTAAAAACCTTTAGCGTCCACGTCGCATTGATTTAACCAAGGCAAATAGACTGAATATTATAGAATACTACTAAAAGAAGCAACTTCTTTTTTTATTATTATTTAATTTAATTTTATTATTATTATTTTATTATTATTATAATTATTTTATGGAAAATCAAAATAAATTTCTTAGAAAAGACGAAAGACAGATGCAGTATAATCTTTGAAAACAGTTTTCTGATCCATTAAAAGCATCCCTATGTAGTTGTTTTTGATTTTAGTGTTTGATATTATTGATATTTCTTATTATTATTGATTTTCCGCCACTGTTGTCAACGCTCACTACTAAAGTGAATAATTAACGCCTAGGCTGTAAAGACAAACTAGACCAATCGGGTTTTTTACCTCCTAGTCTGTAAAAATCCGTTAAAACCATTCAAAAAATTCGACTAGTGTCAGGCTACCTACTCTTACTTTGTAGTTTTAATAATTATTATAATTGTTACAGGGTTTCTTTAAAAAACTTAAATAATTAATATCTTAAGAAAACGAGCTAACTTTAAAAAACAGATTGCACCACTAAATTCTACACCCAAAAATTAGGTTTACGTGTCCCGGCGTTTTTATGTGTCTTTTTAAAAGTTTGAAATTTACCTACAGTGTAATTAATATGATTTAAAATGTGTATAACTTTAACATAATTAAATATTTAAATTTATTTATATTTTATTTATTTTACACAAAAAGAGTTACATTAACTTATAACTTTCTATTGATTTTACAGAAATAGTATGTCTTCATTTAATTATATTAATTTTTAATTTTAACTATATTTTTTAATTAATTTTTACATTAATAATTGTTTATTTTTATTTAATTTAATAAAATATTTAAATTAATATAAGAATATTGGTTTTTGGGCAAAAAATAAAACATGTATACATGCATGGGAATAAACTGAACTTGCACAGTCCAGTCCTTTTTTTGTATTCCAAAATAAAATACAAACAAATACGCATTTCTAGGATACAAACGTTATGTAAGTAAAAAAAACATTATCATAGCAAACTTACTTTTAAATTTTGTTAAACACACGCTATATAAATGCATACTTAACCTTACAATTAGGAACTTCTAATCGAATTAACTATCATCAACCGACTAAACGCAGTTAGAAGACAAAGGGCCTTGCAGGGTACCGATTTTAATTGAAAGAAGGCGAAAATTAGCGAATTAGAAGAATAACTTTTATATTTTAGTTGAATTTATTAAAAAAAATACTCAATTGTTTTAATTTGATTATTTCCCTCATTATAATATGAACCAATCAAAAGCCTTGAATTTTCGAATAAATTTTGTTTAAATAAGCGATTAAATCACTAGAACTATTTAACAGCGATTAAATTTTATCCTCCATATTGGATTTTTGATTACGATTTTATGGTGTTATTTACAAGTTTTAACAAACATTTTTTTAAAAACAATAAAAAATAAGTTATCTAGTTTACGAAATATCAATTATTACTTATTACATACCTTAAATTAATGGAATTTTCTTTAAAAAAATATTTATAAATTTTGACACATACGTCAGATTTTATGAATTGTCAAATAGTTTCCTTTAATTCGAGAAATAATCTAGACGTATATCACTCAACCTATACATTTGAGGCGTTTCTCGGAAAAACATCATTAGTGCAATATCGTCGAAATTTAGATATTTGCACCAACTGTTTCCTAACCTCCATATATACGTGTTTCTTGTAAAAATGTCATAGGTTCCATAATAATTAAATATATGAAATTTAGCTTGTTCTTCTAAAAACATCACAAGTCCACTCCGTTTCGTCTAAGAAAGTCACATGTTCATAACATGTGACATTTTTGGACACTCTAGAAAAGCTTCTACCTCTTTTACATGACCACAGCAATAGAAAATTTTATGATAACTTGATAAAAGAGCAGAAGACTATATATAGCACCTGACAGTCCTGATAACACGGTCGACAACGATGATAACAGCAGTGGATGCGAAGACTGAGTGTGGCAGTAATGCAGTTTTTAGTTTTTTCATTTATTTTGTTACTCAGAGTTAATATTTAGTTTGTAGTGTTTGTAGTAAGGAGAATTCTTCGTTTTTTTCTTATAAAAACCTCACATGTTCATTTATTTTTTGTGTTTTTTTCAAATTCGTTTGAAAAAACAAACATGAGGAATTCTGGACGAAGTATCTTACATTTTTTTACATGTAGTAAATAGGCCAATAAAGTACTTTGGTCAAAAATGGGAATGTTGGAGAGTTTTTTCATTTTCCCAAATATGTTAATTTTGGACTAATGATGTTTTTCCGAGAAACGCGTCATTTAATCTGTCAAACTATGCTCAGTAAGTTTTTTATTTGATTTTTCTTTTTGGAAAATAGTTTCATGCAAAATAATTATTTATTAATTTATTAAATTATTTTGCATTCAACATTTTCCAACAAAAACCAAACAAAAAACTACTGAGCCTAGTTTAACCGATTAAATTCATAGTTCTCGTGATATAATATATGATTAAAAATGTTCTGTACTCAAATATTTTTAAGTTAGATTAATACTTGTTTGGGAGGTATTTAAACTAATGTATTATATTGAAATTAACATAATTTTCTCGTGACATTTACTACATTATTATACTACAATGTAAAACAAATTTAAATTTCAAATATTTTGAATATTTTAAATCTTTTGAAATTTTATGATTTTAATTATTATAATTTTTGTATCAAGTAACATATATTATTTATGTTCAAACACTAGGAAGTTTATGTAAATTTATAGCTCGCATTATTTTTAACGCAAATTTTATAAATTTTTAACATGTGGTTCGCTCAATTGTAGGCCTTCGCTACGCGTCGGCATTCAAATTTTGGACTCAGCACAAAAAATGAGTCTTTTGCTAAAATTTAAAATTCTATTTTACCGCTAAATTGAATTTGTCAAAAAGTCAAAACTATGCTTGATTGCATTAATAAAAGAAATTTATAAAAAAAAACATAAAATGTTAAAAAATACGCTGAAAAAGACCTGGAAACCAAAACAATAAAAGGATGTTTTTTCACGTTACAGGGTGTAACTTACATCTCTACCTAGGGCTAAGGCTCGTTTTTTTTGCTACAAAATATTTTTAAATTTAAATTTCTGCCCATATAAATAAAAATACAATTTTGGTTTGCTTATATTTATAAATATTATTCATTCAACCATATTTTAACTTAAACATTAAAAAATATTCCTAAAAACATTTTAAGGAAAAACCTCGCGAATAAATATAAAATAACACATCCTAAAGTAATTAAAGAGTAGTGTAGGTATTTAAATGTTTGAAGTTTCTTTTGGCCTTGCTTTACAGTGTTCATTTCGTCCTTTAAAATGTACACTCTTATTCCTTTCATGTAATATTCCAAGTAACTTTCCCAATCTATATCCGAATGGTCGAAATTAAATAATTCTCTATCCTTTCTCGTCATGCCTTTTATCAGTTCTTTATTGTTTGAATCGTTAAAGACCCAGGAATTGTTCATGAAGTATTGAATGTTTCCTGTGTATCCTTCCATTTGGTCGTAAAATCCTGATATCCTACAAAAAATAATATCCTTGCAATATGACTTTTCTTAAACATTATAATTTACATAAATACTTTTATCTCCACGCGGTCTATAATTTAAACTTTATTGTTGTCAACATTCGATAAAGAAATACCTTGTTATGGCCTAGGCCGATAAAAATTTTTATGAGGCAAGTAATTAGTTCGATTTTTTCTCGCTAGGGGTTGTTTTGACAAA